TAAAAGAGTAATACCTAATAATTTATTGAATCAATTCATAGTGGAAAAATGAAGTATAGCTTGTGAAAATGGCGCCAACATGAAATTCAAGTTCAATCGAAAATATGCGCATAAACAGCGCCAAAATCGGAAAGTTTGATTTCCCGCGAAAGTCGGGTTACAGCGCCCGCATAAACCCGACGGAGGAAACTTGCATTACAAACTCGGGTTTCGTGAAACCCCGGTTTCGAGCCTCGCATAAACGTAGCTAGTGATACATTGGAGTTTACGGGAGTGAACCTTCTGTTGGTGAAGCCTATATATTCTGTGTCGGCATGACGTACCTAACCTAAAAACCGCGATAATAAACTGAAATTTTCAAAAAACTTCAATTACGCACGAATTACGCAGAATTCTTCCAATTACGCAGCATTACGCATTACGCAGCCACTTCGCAGCAACCCTCCAATTACGCAAAAAAAAGTCCTCAATTACGCAGAACGGTAACACTGGGCAAAGATCACCTCGCGTGCGCAAGGCTTTCCAGATGGCTGCGACAGCAACTAAGCGCTCCCTCTGGCGGAGAAAGATGAAGGCAAACACAAGTGCGCCTTTTTATGAATCCCTAGCAATGGCCTTTGAAAAAATTTTCCCGAAACTTTTAAAAAATTGTTAAAATTTTCGTATGAGGAAACCTTTTTCGGCTATTTTTTAAAAAAGTATTTACGAGAAGTAATAATTTAAGTGAAAAAGTGTTAAAAAAACTTCTTATATTAACACCTCTGTAGTTTCTTAAAAAATGTTTCGAAAATTTTTAGTGTTGAAAAACTACAGTTGATACCTATTTTAAGAGATTATTTTAACACTTTTTTACTTAAATTTTACCGCTCGTAAATTTCACTTTAAAAGTAGCCAAAAAGGATTTCCTGATACGAACATTTTAACATTTTTACGAAGCGTTGTCTTTTTGAAATTTAAAATTTTTTAAAAGTTTTTTCAACAATTGTTGCTCCTTAGGTAAAGGGAGGAATTGAAAGGAATGTTGAATTAATGGTAAGAAATGACTGTTTTCCATAGGAGAAAAATTATTATAGGTGAGGGGGACCAGTCATACAAAAAGCGAGTCAAGAATTGTGATAGGTTCCGGAGAAGAAGAGGGTGGAACCGATTCTGGCCTCATCCAAGAGAAATAGCTTACCACGGTTTCTTGCCGAAATGTACGAACGCATTTACTTTTACCTACAGCCTCACAAAAAACCAAGAAATAATAGGTAGTCAAAACTGTTGGTTGATTGGCGGTCTTACGGCTCCCTCTCAAACTTAAGGGATCCAGATTGGGTGGAAATATGTAACACTATTGGTTCATGATGACCACATGGCATTTATTTTGGAAAATTTGTTGAAATTATAGTTCACCTAGCTAACTATTAAAATTGGCCAACCGAACATGTTTGGTACAGTCGACTTGGAAAAGAATTTCAAAACCAGAAGGTTAGGGTAAAAAATTGCAAAAACCCAAGTAGCAAAATAGAATTTGTTTCTAGAAAAAAAATATTAGGAAAATTTCTAGAAAAAACAAAGAAAATGAGAGTTATCCAGAAAATAGAAAGAAAAAACATTGCGAGTCAAAAGTCTGACCAAAGAAAATAGATTTATTTCAGAGGTCTACTTTCTGTCAACTTCCCACTTGGAAAAAAGATAGAAAATTTATTGAAAGTAGAATTATTTTCTAGCCAATTTCTTAATGTTTTCTTTTAAGAAAATGCAAGGAAAAATGTATTTTCTTTCTATTTTCTTGTGTCTATTTTCTAGATTTACTTTATACCTATTTTCTTTCAAGAAAATTGTTCTATCTAGAAAGTAGACATTTTCTTGATGAGCGCCACCTAGAAAGTAGATGACAATGCTACTTGGGAAATAGGTGATTAACTAGTAGGAGAGTAGATGAAAAAAGTATTCATAACATTAATTTTAATTAGGTGTTTAATTTCAGTGCAGAGACTTACTACCCGTCATAGTACAAAATATGGAAAAATAAAACAACAATATTTAGGTATTTGTGATTATACAAGTGTACAGTGTAAAATACGTACAAAATGAATGAAGGGATGAGAAATTACGCAGAGCAAAAGATTGCCATAGGAGATTAAACTAAAATGATGAGCTCATAGGTAGACAGACACATCAATTAATGTATCATAATATACAAAATCATGGTAATAAGAATGCGAAATGCAAAATCTTTGAGTAACAGATCGATTTATTCACTACTTATATCTAATCGTGTAAGAAAGAAATAAAAACCTGATAAAATGTAAGAGAATATAGCAACAACCAGCAGGCAGTAATAATTGTTAGGTTCTGTGATGGCTATCTCATCAAAATTTTAATTGCTGAGCAATTTTTTTCTTAACATTCATACTGAACAGCAGTTTTTAAAGAAAAAGTATGGTAAACTTTTTGAAAGTGCACTCTTTTTTAGATGATCCCTGAAGTATTTTGAAAGATGAAAAACAATGGGGTCCAGCAAATTCTGATGGAAAAATTCAGAACAAATAGAATTTTTTCAGATTTCTCTCCAAAAACTAATTTTTTAAGATAAATGCAATGGCTTCATCACAGACCACAATTTTCACTGGATTGCTAGTACTATTTAGTCATGGAAAAAAAAAGCTTAATGACTTTTAGATACTAGTGTCCTTTTGTTATACAGAAAGCTTGGTATGCTAGACACTTAACTTCTAGACAGACGTTTATACAAGAAAAAAAATAATTTGATTCCTCTCTTTAAAGAAGTTAATGAAGAAAGAAGAAATGTAGAATTTTTTATGCAACTAAATAAAATGCCAAAAGATGTATGCGGAATTTCTTCTAACCCTGTACTAGAGGCATTGTATGAAAAAATTTAGGATCCTCATATAACTTGAAGTAAAACAAAAACTACAGTTTTCATTTTAGAAAATCTTCCTTTGATCCGTTCCGTTTTTTTTGCTTTTTTTTACCTTGATTTCCACAATATTTAGGAGTGAGACAGAGGGCATCCGAAGACTGAGGAAAAAGGAGTTTAAGGTTGTTCTGCGCATTTACAGAAATTTTGGAATGAAAGTAATTACAAGAAGCAATAATGATTACGAATCATGATGAGATGTCAGATGTAACGAGAGAACTTTACTGGAACCAGAATCCATAAAAACTTTTAACACTTAGTTGCTAGTTTTAGGCGAACAATAAAAACAAAATGACATCAACAGTTTGGCACAGAGACAGAAAGCTAAAAATAGGCCTGGATAAAAAACCGACAAAATAGTTATTAGAAAATGGATAACAAAGGTTTGCATGAAAAAATATGTTAATCATTCAACGAGATCCACTTATGAATTAATAAGCTTTGAAATGATCCCACCAGAAATAAGATTTTTCGGCAAGTTATGTACAATGATAGTTGAAAGCTTCTATCTAAATACTCTCAAACCTTGACTGTAACCTGAAACCTTAAAGACTTTTTGCCGTCCATCAGTCTCAAGTTCTCAAGATTGATTATATTCTATCTGACATTTCCTTCCCCCCTCTTAAAGGCAACATTGGTTCCAGATTCTTTCTCTCTGAAAATTATTCAAAATGATGGACAGTTTGATCTTCTCAACAGCAATGTTTAATGCTGATGCTCCTTATCCTGTGAAAAATTTGCGTTTTCATTAATATTTGATGAGTCAATCTTCAGAAGTAACTCTGACGCATAGCCTTCTTTGAGACGTCAGATATGCATAGCCACAGACAAATTCACATTTTCTTGCATGTGCATGATCTGAATTTATTTCAATGAAATGTAACAACTCTACAGAGCAAGACTCTAAAAAGAAAGAAATTTATAATATTGCCAGTAATATAATTGCGAAAATGGAAGAGTAAAAGTTTTTTCAACTCTGCCGTACGAGTTCAATAAGCTGCCCCAAAATACCGAAAAACTTAATTTTCTCAAAAATACAGCAATAAAATATGGCAACCGTGGCTTTTTAGGGGGGATTTAAATCAAACATAGACTTCAGAAAAAAGCTTTAAACTATTTGAGTGTAAATCTTGCCGATTGATTGCTGGTGTAACTGAGTTGCTCTTTTTCAGCCCTCCTCAATACTGGTGAAATGCTCCAAAAAGTTTTTTTTTTTAAATTAAGAGCGTAAGGTTTAATTTTGGCCATGATAGACTCTCGCCCATCTCTCATGAATGTAATTGAAAAATTTTGTACCACTCCAACATATCAATGGTAGATCGCAATGCGTTGAATGCTGAAAAACTCGAATTTTTGGCCAAAATGATCGGCTTTCAGATCCATGCTTAGCCCACAATTACATCCAGAAAGGTTCAGAAAATGGCCGAAATGAATGAACTAATGCTCTGGCATCTACTTATGACAAGTTATTACATTTTGCAGCTTCATGTATTTAAGAGGCCATAAAACTTGTATAATCAGCAAATAACTGAAGCATTATTTCCTGATGGTTTCAGGATTTCATTGGTGTATAATCTCTATTTTACATTAGGTTACACAGAGTAAATAGTCGATTGATTCTTCTGACTTTTAAAAACAAAAATAAGAGAGAAACAAAAAAGAAACAATGGGGTGAAATGGAGTATTTATTCCCAACCGGGGAGTCAAACATTGCTCCTGTGAAGATGATCTCTGATTTTTTCACCTGTTATGTGCAGTCTGAAGAATCAGAATCAATGGATATAAACGGGATCTGACAATTCAATTCTTAAATTGCTTTCATAGTATGCAATCATAGTTCTGTTAATAAAACTAAAATGGTTTAATCTAATCACAAAATGCAAACTTAACAAAAACCTTGAGTGCGAATGTTAAAAATGAGCATTGTTGTCACAACAACTTTTCAAAAAACATGATTATAGTGTTCATAAACTGGAATATCTTCTAAAAAATAAGACAAAAAATACACTAAAAAGCCGTAAAAATGTATTCAATACAAATTATTTTATACAAAAGAGGTCTAAGAGTGAGGCTCTCATTGCGTAAATTGAAATAAGAGAAGTTCTAAATTTGGCCCAAGAGAGTTGGAATACATGTTTCCTCATAAGACTAAAAATAGTTTTGATAACTCTTCGTAATACCTCCTATTATTGCTTTTTAGTTCTAGAAAAAATGTTAATTGTAAACCTTTTGTTACTTGTGCGAGTTCTGAGATTATTGTGTTAATTTCTGTTAAAAGCATATTGATAGTAGGTCAAAACTACTGTTTACTTATAAAACATTTTTTGAGGGTAACACCAACCATTGTTGAATTATATTCATTTTTGGCGGGTTCCCATCCAATTCAATTGCAAGAAAGATTATGAATTTAACCTTTAAAATATTCTGCTTTTGATCTTCAAAACATCTACAATTGACAAAAGCCCTCAATATTATCATTGATTGAAGATTATTTTTTAGTGCTTTTTAACATTATACACATAATTTTCAAAATGTTGTTTTAATTGATGTACTATACAAATCCAGAGTGACAAGATATTTCCAGGTATAAAGTGGAGCAGAAAAAACTATGGAATGATTACTAAATCCTGAGCTAGTTAACTCCAAAGATAAATTTTTTGATATATCAGCACCTCATACAAAACAGTCATAATTTGAGAAATCTACATGCTGATAAAAGGAAAAAAAACCATCAAAAATAAGATAAACAATGAAGATGATAAAATTCTGAAAATCACTTGAATCATGATTTAAAAGGATCGAATTAAGACAAGACATTTAAGCATCAAAATTCTGGAATCCCGCGGCGAAGGTGAAAATTGTTTCCGCTGTTTGCTTAAAACTCTCTGTTAATCAAGAACTTGTTTGAACCAAACAAATAAAAATAAATTAATTAACACAATTTTGCAAACTGTGTTAACAAAAACAAATTTAGGAACTACTGAGAACGTTAAAATGCAAGGCAGTTGAATTATGAGAAAAAAGTTGCGAAAAATCACATTTTTTTTTTTCTTTTTACGATTTCAAACCAAACTGAATAAGTATAGATTTCATCTTATGGGTTGAAACACGTAAGAGCATAAAAGAACAGTTAAAATGTTCAGGATAAAATTTATAGGTATTCCTGTTGTTTGTAAGTGGTAAACTTACAGAAAGATGATGCTCCGAAGATTTTACAGAAGATTACAGAAAGATGAAAGATGATTTGATCATCCAGTAGAAAATACAGCGAATCTGTGATCTATCTCATTGTGGAGGGAGATTGCGAGACGTTGGATGGTGTTGCTAGCACTGAATATGTAGAGCTGCTGCCATTTAAAAATTATGCTATAGGTGTTGTTGCTTGCAAAGGAATCAAAGGATGTTGTCAAAGTGTCCTGCTCTTTTTGAAAAGAGATATTTCTGTTCATTTGGAATCCGGAATGGATCTAGTGCCTTACGCATTAGCTTCAAGCATGAACATACGATTCTTAGAGTGATTCTTATATGTCTTTCAATTGATTCAGAGCATTTCATCTTTCACGAATGATGATTCTACTTTGTAATTAATATATTTAGTAAGCTTTTAATCACAGAGCACTATGCAACCTGGTTCAAAAAAGAACAAAAAGAAAAGAGAGTAATAAAAATGGGTATCTGATTAAGATTCAGTTCTGGCAACACATCCATTTTGGCCCAACTCTACTTCAACTGATCACATCTCAATTTCTTTTTCCCTAAAACGTTTAATGATGGAAAGAGGCAATGATAAGGTAAAAACCATTGTTAAAACTGAGTTACAGATATGAAGTTCCTCTTTTTTCAGTCATAGCTACGGCTATACTAGAGAGCCAATATTGAAAAGATGATTAACAACTAGTCTCATATGCCCATTTGAACTGTACATACCATCATAAACAATGAGAGTGGTGGGTATTTTATTAATTTGTTGATCATGTTACACAAATGAGATAAGTGCAACTAAGACACCTCAGATCCTTCTAAAGTCGGCCGTAAAATTAACTAATAACTTAACATTTTAATAAGAAAAAAAGTACAACAATATTACAGCCAAAACAGATCAACAAGCTGCAGAGAAGTTGACAAAAATGTGAAAAAAGAAGACAAATATTATTGTTAGCAAAAAAAGAAAGAAAAAAAAGAAGAAGAACGAAAATGACACAAATTGGATTTATACATAGATTAGTGCATAAACTCCCGAAGCAAATTCTTAAAGTGGTCTATATTTGCTTTTTGGTGTATAGGTTTCACTTTTGTCACTCACAAAGCTTCAGAAATTCCGCCTTGGTGTGAAGTTCCTGCTTCACAGGGCGAAAGACAACAAGGCTCACATAAAAATGGGATCTGTGCGACTTGCTTTCCGTTCTTGTAGGTGTTTGGCTGGATAATCATAGGAAATTAACAATGAGTAGGTTATTTTAATCTTCAATTTAAAAAATTTGCGAGAATTTAAAAGCTGAAATTTGGCGAGACGACTTTACAAATCTAGACGAGTTCTCTTCCCAAATTTATCTAGATTTACCCCACTTGTGGGAAAGCTCTTGCCGATCTCTTCCCATCTTCAAATAAGTAATATCTGTTGTAGCGAATAGACAGTTCAGGGTTTGAAATAAAGAATGAGCAAATTTAATGCTTTTCTAAAGCATAAATTAAAGGTTAAATACAGGCTTGTTTCATGGATATCTGTTCTCCTCAAGTCTCAAGACAAGGAGTAGTTTAAACTTTCTCATACACCACAGCACTTGACAGAGATCCGACTTGGTGCCTGCAGGATGTTTTGGTGATCATACTTGCCTCTCGCTAGAACACTAACTGAACACTGATCTATTACTTATCTCATCTGATGACTTTGATGCATAACTATTATAGGTAGGATAGTATTGTGATGTTGCAGCCCTTTACAAAAAGTTCGAGTACTTCAGAAATTTTCTTAACAGTGCCAATTTTAATCAAAAAGTCAACAATATCGAATTGTCATGACATTCTTTTTTTTAAACTTTAAAACATGCATGAATTATCATAGTATCATTGCATATTTTCTTATGTTTACGACCTTGAAAAATGATCTTGATGCATTCACTTTAAATTCAGTTTTGCTACCCGTGATGAGGCAAGCAATTTTCATAGGCAAATGAATTTACAAAGATTTTATGGTGCTTGTACTTTCCCTCATCTTGATAACTGTGGGAAAAACTTTTTTGAGACAGAATTTCTCACTGAGCTAAGTAGTACATAGACCCATTATGCCTAATTCACGTTGGAATAAGGTGCCCACACATTAGCATATTACGCACCAATGGTCAAAGATGAAAGTGATGACAATTACGTTGTGGAGGAAAANGGGGGGGGGGGGGGGGGGGCAGGGGAGAGAGAGAGAAAAATAAGGATACATTTTGGTCAGAATACTAAATTTACCTACTAGGATCTATTGCAATATGAATAAACCGCAAAATTAGGCGTATAATCCAAGCTGATGAATTTTGGCAGACAGAAAGTTGTGAAGAATGAAGACAAAAGGTTTCGGACAACATTCCAGATCCAGTTCCTGAAAGAGAAAGATAAACAAGATGACACTTAATAACTTCAATTATTGCAAATTGTAGGTGAATAAACACAAACAGTGGTCTAAAATAAGAGGATTTCACAGAGTTAATTCATTTCACTGTTTGAGATCTTCAAGTTAGACTTTGTGAAGGTCTAATGGATGTAATTAAAATCTGCAAAATTTCCACCCCCTCAGCACAAGATTTACAGGCGTGAATTTTAAAGAACGTTTACTGATTTTTCCTTGAGAGTTCTCAATACTAGGGTTGAGACTAATCCAGCATCAAAACTTACACACTCTTGGCTTTCTTACAAGCTGTAGGTTTGTAAATTTTGTTTACACATTCCAGGGAAGGTATGAATTCTCAACACCTGCCTCTCCTACAAACGTGCTCTTTTTCCATGAGCTGGGGAACTTAACAGAGAAATTGAAATGAAGTCTTGGAAAGGGTGACTTTTAATTATAATCTCATTGAATGAGGCTGATTTACTCCTCTACAGCATCCCACTGCACTTGTTGACATGGTCATTTGTCAGGTGTTGATACAAGCTTTCAACCTTGCATCATTGGGAAGACGTTTGCCTCCAGGAAATTTCTTTAATCTTAGGAAAAACGTAAATCTCAAGGCACTGGAGCTGTAGAGTGGTAATATAAGTTGATTTTCCATATTCTCCAGAAGCGACACGTCATGGAGTTAAAAAATTGATAGAATCAAGAGATACACTCTTAGGCTCTCCAATCTCTTCAAATGCCGATTGCTGTTGCCAAATTAGACAGCAGAAATAAGACTCTATACTGGCAGCCATTTTGAAATGGTGATTGATGGAAACCTAAACTTGGGAGCAAAAATGTGAAATGACAACAACATAAATAGCCAGAAACATCCCTATAAGGCCGAATAAAGCTAGAAATGCCTGGAAGTAGTTAAGAACACCAAAAAACAGTCGGAATGAGCCAAGCAGAATCCAGATGCAACATGCAACGAATGGTTGCCACCTTCAGGAGGAGCAGAGGGAGTGGAAAGAGGAAGAGGGGGAAGAGAAGGGATGAAAATAGTAAATAAATGAGGAAATTAAAATTTTCTACCTCTAACAACAACTTACCATTTCTCCTTCATCGCCACCAAAATCCAACCATAGCAGGCGAGAGCCATCATCTGCAGAAGTGCGCAACCTCTCAAATGGAAAGCTCCACAAAACCTTCATTTCTCGACCCATAGAGCCACTAGGGGCTTCTAACAGTGTGAATCCATTATCAAAGTTTAGAGCTAATTGAGCAGGTTTTCCTTGCCACATACATCCTATATTTAAAAACAAACAAAACGATAAGTGACTGAGTCTAAAAAATGATGACAATACACTTAACAAGTACTTTTCCAGAGATCTGGAAAACATTATTCCAGAAAAAATGCCTGCAGACGCGGAAAATTTGACAAAGCAGGTTACAAACTACGCATATTGCTAGCTAAGGAATGAATTTCAGACTTTTTTTAGGTACTTAACACGATTTTTGTGTGATTTCACCCGTAGATACATTTATTTGGCTATACCTCTTGCGTGCAACACTGCAACAGACCCATTACAAAAGTTGAAAATTTACTTTTAGAGTAGCTTCTCACTTTTGAAACGTCATCAACGACCAACAGTCAAGTATGTACATCTTACACAGATTAATTTGTAGACTAATTAAAGTATTCAGAGTTTATGACTAGAAACTAATTTAACTATTAAATTTTGGGGTCAAAATGAGTTATTGATAAAAAATTGGTTTCTTAAAAGAAATATTACAAAAAAATTGACACCTCGTTTGCAGAATTGAAGTTTGGAGAGTGTGAGAGCTAGAGTATGGTTCTTTTTAATTATGTTGCCATTTTGAATTTTGGTCTTTATTTTTAGATCGTAAATGAAGGCTGGAATTTCTGATTTCTCTTCGGGGACTTGTTAAAATCAAGCATTCCTCTTTGATCCATTTTTACTATTTTCTGACCCATTTTGGAGGGAAGAGGGTCCTTTATTATGGTTTTTTTGCAAGGCTTCAGAAATCTGGAGGGCCATAAAACATACTCTGGTGAATTTAAATCAGTTTAGTTTTATTTTTATTTTGGGAAATAATACTTTACTCCAGCGAAACTTTACCCTCCACAACTTTAGTTCCTTGGCATTTTTCACGAAAACTCACGATTTTGGCATTACAGCAAGATTTTTGAACAAAATCAAGGAGTACGCTTAAAAATTGCAAAAGCACCATAAAATGGAAGGGCAAGATTACTAAAAATGGTTGAAATTCACCTGTATTTTGTCAAGAATGTTCTTTCAGTAAGCAGCAAAGATTGCTGCCCAGGGCCTGTAACATATCAAATGTTAAATTTTTTTCTACACCTTGAGGCGCCTCTGCTGGCCAGCTCACCTCACTAAACTTCACTTCGTTTCATAAACTTTAAAGCGGTCGGTTTCTAATATAATCATTAGACTGCTGTTTCTTCAATCTGAACAAAGTGATGATAAATCTTTATGCTAAATTAGTAGGAAAATAATAGAAGTACTTACGACACACAAGTTCTCTCTGTAGCATTACACAATTGTGACTACCATTGACTAATGTGCGTGCCCAATTAGCTAAATCACGATGTGTTTCTGCTCGAAGCAAGTGCGTGACAACGCCTTCAGGAGTTCCACACCTGACACTAAATACTGAGCATTGTACGTCTGTTTGCCTACACGAAGATACAAGCCTGGAAAAAGAGGAACACGATCAAATTCTGCCACAATATGCAGTGGTTCAAACACTGAGTGAAATTAGCTAGAATTTCTATGACACAGCTGCTTTTTATACCAACTTCTTACAGAGTGATTTAAAATTCCTGTAACATCCCGATATTTTTTTTGCTGACTAAGCTACTAAGTTGAAACTTTGGGGATATTCACAGATCACAGGAAACTACTTTTTGATTTCCTAAATTTTGGCGCAGCTCCTACCAAAAGGAGGCATGGACCCTAAATTTATTTTCTGATGGTAACTTCTACCTTATAATACATTGTTGGAGCAAGCATAAAAAAGAACACTTTTGATGCAAAGTTCGAGTCTCCATCGATCATCATTTAAAAATGGCAGTCAGTTAAAGTTTAAAAAGACCAAAAACGATACCAGTCGCGCACTGTTGCCGTTTGCAAATTAATCAACCAAAACTCTGATTTTAAAATCGATGCCATGGTTGCCACAGTCAGAGAATACTGGAAAATGCCTAGGAATTTTCAAAATTCAGGGAAAAAGACAGAAAACTTAGGGAGAATCTGACAAATTTTACAGAGAGTTTTTGGCATGAAATCTGCTTGCCCTTAAAGATCTGCCATTGTTTTTATTGTTAAACTTGGGAGAATTGTAAGTCGGATTGGACTGAATTTCTTTCTTTTACCTGCTGATTGACTTTCTCCTTCTCAGCTCATCAATGGCCCTATCAAGAATCTGAGGAAAATATAGGAGCTTCAAAGATTATTGACACCTGCTTTTGATTAACATGACTTACTACGATCGATGGCTAACGCCTTGTTTCCACAGGACGTTTCTTAGGATTTTTCTAGGTTCGAATCACAGCAATGAAACTTTTAGGCGTTTTTCCGAGTAAAAAACACAGCAAAATTTCTTCTTCTTCTTTTGAAGTTGTTTCTGGGACTCCACAAGGACTCTTAGTTAGTACTATGATTAGTATTGAGTAAGTCAATATTTTTCTCAACTTCGCGAAAGAGATTTTTCCCAGGGACAAATCCCATGAAACGTCCTGTGGAGACAAGGCCTAAGAAAATGAAAAACTTACCTGGTTGATATTAATCGACAGACTTCGACCGGTGTGTTCCATGCTTCAAGACTCCATGGTGCTGATTCATAAAGGCGTAATTCGGAATCAGTGACAGCGGCAAAAACAGCTTGCCACTTATCATACTCTTCACTACTTTCAGAACTTGCTCGATCATTCTAAAATAGCATCAATTTGAAAATCAAATGAAAAAAATCAACGTAAGATAAAAGAGAAAAAAACCAGGAAATAAAAAATTAAGAAGGTGGTAAAATAGTGTTGAGCAGTTGGGTTCAAACCATTCTGCAAGGGAATCAGGGCCAAAAAATGTCGATGAGTATCAGTGCAAGACTGAGGGAGAGAGTGTTAAGCTCAGGCAGATGCATTGGAATACTAAACTGGGGTCACACCAAGTCTATGACATTTTGGGTCTTCTTAGAACTCAGCAGTAGATCACACTTGGCAGTGAGCCCAGCTTAGAATTTCGCAAAATTCTGGACGACACTAAAATGCCATCATGGTTAATCTGTACCTTTTCCGTACTTCCATACCAACACTCCGAAATTCATGCTTTTTCAGTGTATCCATACTTTTTCTGTACAGTAGACACTTTGTTTTTTTTAAAAGCCCGACCGACAGATTAAAAGATAAACAAAAGGAGGGTAAATAGTAACAAAAATTCATGAAAATAGAAAAAAACAATAATAGAAACAACTCAGCTCTGTATAAAATTACAGAAAATACAGAGTAAAACAATTTATGAACTGAGATTAAATTTTAATCATCCACTTGTTATTACTTAAGACACCTTGAATGAGAAACTTTCACGCTTACCTCAGTTGTTGGGTATTTCCGTGCAAGCCAGCCAATTCTATGAAGCTCACCGACTGAGGTTATACTGAGAACTCTGTTAGCCTCTTGAAAAGCCTTCACAGTCTGAACATGTAAAGCTGAGTGTAGTGCATTGAACCAAGCAGCAGCGTCTGTTGTGTCACTTGCTCGTAAAATACACGAATGAATACTGTCTGGAGAATGCAGCTCAAAACATCTATTTCCTGAAAATACGTTTATAACATAATATAAGCAACAGGAATAACCTTCTGCCTACCTGTTTAAAGTTTGTCATCAATAGCTTTGATGCTGTTGTTTTCAAAATGATTTTGTTTGAAACTTTTGATAAGTTTCTGTGATAATATTGTAGAGTAGATCGGTAATTGTCAGTAACAGAGAGAAGTCACCAAAATAAAGTTGATTTGGGGAATGTAATTAATTAGCATACAGCAGTTGGAAACAATGACCAAGTGGTAGAAGTCAGTTCAGCTCTTTACTAAGGATGGGTGCAGAGAGCTCTCTTGAAGTTGTTTGCATAACTTAATTCCTGAAAAGAAGATAGTGCCATAAGTTGAAGTAACCTTCAATCATTAATATTACTTGAGATACAATCAAGATTGAGACTTTGTTTCTTCTGGTTTTGAAAATTTCTTTAATAACATGGTAAATGAACTCTTCACTGTAAAATAAGCATTACACAAAATCATATGTACCTGGATCAATGTGTTTATAATTGCGGGCTAGAAAGCACAGTTGCAAGGGCAAGAATCTAGTATCAGCTCGTAGTGGAGATCTAGGACTTGGTGGCGAATTTGAAAGAAAACCTCGTTGAAGTTCCCATCCAATTTCAGAGACAATGCTTGCTTTTCGAAAGTACGGTGTGACTTCATGCAGGTACTTGACTGTAACATAGAATGACGTGACCACTGGAGTACAGACCGCAACAGTAGACGTGCAAACATAAGAAAAACCGTCATAACCATCAAATAATACTTCCCACGATGAATATATTGTAAGTCAAGTAAAAAGGAAAATAAAATTGAAAAAAAAAAAAAAATAAATTTGATGCAGCAAAGCTGTTAGAGAGTTGCTTTTGAGCACAGTCTTCTTTAGTTTTCACGTAACTTTGCGGGAGCTATGCCTCAACATGAGTAATGTACGCTGAAAAATGATGGTCCTGCAAGGGCCCTTCATTTAATTTTATCAGATAATTAAAAACAATGGAATTTCTGTTGCTTGTGCAACAGTTTTTTCTAGGTACAAAGCTTTAAAGATTTTTTAACTAAGCCACCTACATTTACATCTAAACTCTCATAAAATTTTATCCCAGACAGAACTTTCCTAAAGTGTCCTGGACATGTTTTTCCAAAATCAAGTTTCTACAGACGATATATCATTCCCTTCATTCCTTGTCACATTTTCCCCTTTCAAACTATTTTCCCCTCCCAAGCAAGGATAAGCCCAGTAGTTCTGTCACCTCTAGTTAGATTTATCCTTTGCTTAAAATCTGACACAGCTCTCAAGGCACCCGTTAAATTTTAGCAAGAGGTTAACTGCGATCCGATTAATGATAGTTATAAGCAGCCGGATAAGACTTCAAAATGTGATGAATAGCATGATTGAGACAGGGCTATGTCTTGTCTCCTTGACATAATTTCAATATTTGCGCTGCTGGTCCTGATTCCTACTTGACCTATCAGAACCATTAATATCATTCCGATCAAAAAAAGTACTTACTATGGAAGCCCTAGGAAACATTATTATTAGAGGGCTGTTCAGGACATTAAGAGTTTTGCTGTGGCAAAGGATAAAATTTAACCAGAGGTGGAAGAACCAGTCATCATCCTCAGACTTTTTCCCTCATGACAGGAATCCTCATCTGTTGTCATCTTCTCCACTAAGTATTGGTATTTGACTAGGTATGCGAAAAATGATAAGGCCTGATGAGAGTAAAACAAAAAAATTTCTAGATCCATTTACCTTCTAATTCTACAACTTTTCCAGCTCTTTTGAGAGATTTCACTGCTTCATCATGAGTCGCATCTTGTAAGTCTTCTCCGTTCACTGATAGTATGGCGTCCCCGACGTATAGTTGTTCTGTCTGATCAGCCGCCATGCCTTTGAAGATTTTTGAAATCAATATGGGCATCTTGTTTTCTTTGCCACCTTTGATAGAGATACCCAAACCATTATTGTCCGATTTCACAACACGAACTGTCCGTTTCTGGTTGGCTATAGACTCAGGAATGTCACTGTTATCAATGATTCCGCAACTAGAGTCAAGCGTATTAATGTTATTATTATTGAGAGTTCCATTAAGAGCGGTTGCATTATCAAAGTTATCTTCTAAAGTGATGCTTAAATAATCATCATTCAAATTTACAAAAACTTTGTACCACTGGTTTCGAACGAGAGTTTCTAATACTCCCGAACGACTGTAGGGGCAACAGGCCATGTTCGTGAAGATTTGCTCACAGAATCATGTTTAGAGGCTTACGAGATTTACACTCAGTGCAAACAAATTGAAGGTGCTTAGGGATTGATCTACTGCAGAATGCTAGGACGGAAGATCGAAACCGCGGAGTAAAATCATAACGAATTCTCACTAGTTTCCCGGAGACAACAATCAAAATTCCAAATTTTACACACAAATACAAAATGACACAAATACATAACCTCCGAAAAAGAATAGTACAGACACAGATGCACACACAGCACACACACAGTACAGTACAGAGGTGTTGAGCACAGACTATACTAACACATTCTCAGAAAGCTACAATCAGGTTGCCAGGTTTTCCAGGTCAAATTTTCATTAATCACCACACGCAAGTGTCACAACTCACACAACCCCTCAAAAAAATGTAGCACCAAGCTTGAAAAAGCTAATTTTTCATGCAGAACCAGGGCTTCAGAAAAACAGACGTCAAAATTTTGCTGGCATTTGCACGCGTGATTTCTGATTTTCAAATTCAGCTCAAATGCTAAGTTTTTAGTACCTGTGTTTAGCACACCTGAAAGCCAACCTACAACATAACCAAACAACCAATGGCCTAGCATGTGTTTTACAGAGGGTGCCGATCACCATTTCCGTGAAATCTCTCCTGTTTTGTCTTTTATCAATTTGTTAGGATCGTGATTGTCGATGGATTTTTGTTCTTAGTTATTACACTGAGAGATAATCAAGCAATCCCTACTGTCCTTAGTGAGTTTAAATCATGACTGCTAGAGATTCAGTGTTCCCTTTCCTTTAGTTATTGTTGCCGTGTCTTTCCCCCCATTATCCTGTTCCAGCATCCCCTTCGTGATTGCTGACAAGTGTCAATTTTAGTGCTTCCAGCTCGTCATGCCTCCCAAAGCTGCAAAAGCTGCGCCCAGCAAGAAAGCAGATCAGAAGAAAAAGGAGAAAATAATTGAGGTATGCAGAAACATTTAGATGTAATGCCCATGCTTCATCTCAACCCCCAGTTATACTCAGTCTCCACCTCATTGAGGGTCATATCACTTCATGTGTATCTTTCTGTGAGGTTATATCAAATTCCGCTATTTTTTCGACTCTCTTTTTGCGTTTGACCATCTTCAAGCTTCGCTTTGCCACTGAATGCATTTCATTTTGTTTTCAGCAGTTCGAACTCATACTTTTAACTGTCTTCATCATTTTACCATTGGTACATGCCTCGTCTTGCCCAGGTGGGGGATTATCCTGTTCGTCAGTATGAGTTTACTGTGAATGCTATTTTAGAATCGCGATGACTGTTCAATCTAGATTGAAGGCTCTTTGATCAGCTTCACCAATCAGTTAGTCGACGTTGTTCAAAATCATGGCAACTCTACTGACCCGGGCACATGCTGATCATGATCATCGTAAAGTAGAATCCACGCCAAATAAATTCATGCACATCTACACTGCGGCAGAAGATCTTTAGATGACACTATTGCAGAGTAAAGTATATCAAAGAATCAAAATGATGGATCTTCTGTCGCAGTCTGAAAATGCGTGGACTCCAGGTGTATTCAAGGGGGAGATTCCAGGTATATCCATGCAGATTGAATGTGTAGGTATTTGCAAACCGAAGGAAGAGATGCTGATGGAAAACTTACATATGACAGTTCATTTGCAACATGCATATGCAACTCATTCTGAGTCTATATCTTGATTGAGTAGTGCATCATATTTTCAGATCCGTATCAAGGATGATGTTCCGACTGTAGACCCTGGTTAGAATTGATATAAATTCACCTCTTCTAAATAAACCTGTGTATGTGCCTGGACGATGAGATATACTTCCCATTCAATTTTTTATGAATGCGCACATCTCAGATTTGAAATCAACCAGCATTGATGAGGTATCAATAAAAATCAAATGTCTCTTTTCCACACCCAAGTGTTGATTCCACTTTCTGTAACATGAGATGCACTCAGAAAATACTCTTTTACACGTATCTAACATTACTTACCTATGTAGAACCCGAAGTTTCAGATACACTTGGTAAAAAAAGCAGAACTTTACTTAATTGAGCTTTGATTTACTACTTACTTAGGTCTTCTGATTTGAGAATCGTATTTCTTCCAGCGGAGGGATGACATTTTTTCCAGAATGATTTCAAGGAAAATGCTAGGATCCATCTCTAATATTCTTTTTGTTTTTTACTTACAGGATAAAACTTTTGGATTAAAAAACAAGAAAGGTGCCAAGAACCAGAAATTCATCCAGCAGATTGAGAAGCAAGTGAAATCAGGAGGTGTCCCTGCAAGAAAAGCTGGGCAAGAGCCAGACAAGAACAAAAAGAAAGAGGATAAGTTGAAAGAATTAAAGGAACTTAATCAACTGTTCAAACCTGTCCAAAAAGTTGATAAAAGTAAGAATTCATATATAATCTTTTTAGTTCCATTTGCTTTTTTTCTTCAATTTGTCTGCCAAGAGTAATGAGGGGTTGCACGAAAAATCACGTATTGTAAGTAGGGATGAGTTCTTCGTGACCCTTAACTCCTGTTAGAGCTCAAGCAGTTACCAGTGCTGCAATCTTGCGTATAATCCTTGTAAATAACAGATATCAGACATAAAAAAAAATTCATAATACCAGAAAAATTCACCTTAAATTGGTCTCAGTCTGCAATGTAAAAACCAAGAAAAGCAGGTCGAAAAGCAGTGAAAATATTCTTATTTTTCACTAATTCAGGTACTGTAGGGTACCTGCTTAACTTCTTTCAGGACAAGCAATGTATGGATCAAGGTTCTGACTATACAATGATACTGGCTTAGTTTCTCTTCTTTCAAACTAAATTAATTATTTCCTCATGAATACTTCTCCATAATGCTGTAATGCCCTACTTTCATGGAAAACTGACGGACTTTTTTTTTATATTTTCAGATGCAGATCCGAAGACAATTGTTTGCGCTTTCTTCAAGCATGGTCAGTGTGCCAAAGGAAACAAGTGCAAGTTTTCTCATGACTTGGCAATGGAGCGTAAAGCAGAGAAGCGTAGTCTCTATGTTGATGGCCGTGACAATGATGATAAAGGTGAAGACTCGATGGATAACTGGGATGAGGCAAAATTGAAGGAAGTTGTTGAGAAAAAACACGGTGAATCAAAAACTCCGACAACAACAATAGTAAGGCATTTTTTCAATTACTTTTAAGGAATTTCTTCTTTCTTTTTTCTTTGGCAATGATGTTAGTTGCCAGTATACCAAAGATAGGTTCTTATTTAAACGAAAGATTGTCTCGAGTCTTGAAGAAGGGGAAGTTTTCGTAGCACTTTTTAGCTGAAATAAAGTGTTGAAAAGAATGACATTTCTCAGACATTTTATAGCAAATAAAACTGGTAATTTGACCCGACCCTCTAGAATAAAACAAAGAAACCCACCCAAAGTCGCCTGTTTCCATCCTTAGCCTGTTTAGGGAAGCAGACTAGCTGAGCTTCAAAATCTAAGCCAAAGCTCATGCAAGGAAAGTTATGAGCCGAGGCAATGGATTGAAATTTCAAAATGAACCAATTTTATCAACATTAGATAAAAACTGGTTGTCATTAAATTTTAAGACCAGGGTCATTTCTCTACAATGAATCTTCCTTGAGATAATAAGTTTTATTATTATAATTTCAATTATATTCCATTGCATTGGAATTATATTTCAATTGCCTCGTTCACTTTGCTTTAGTGGAATTTTTGTTCTAAAGTCGAGCATTATTCTCAATTTCTCATAGTACAAGTCAATAATCATTTAATTTGAGCCAAGCCCATGAATTGGCTCTGTTTTTCTGTCTTCTCACGCAGAGTTTTCAGTCGTTTTTTTTCTTTTTTTCCCCAGTATTTTGCTTGATTACGTAACAATTGTTTTCCTTTGCAGATTTGCAAATTTTTCCTAGAAGCTGTTGAGAAAAGCAAATATGGTTGGTTTTGGACCTGTCCCAATGGACCTAGCTGTATTTATCGTCATGCTTTGCCTCCAGGATTCGTCCTAAAGAAGGTACTAAGTTACTTTTTTATTATTATCGCTGTTTTTGTGGTTGTTGTTGCTTTCGTTGTCATTTTTGTCTAAGAATCATCTAAATGTCAGTAATGTGTAAGACAGTGAGGAAGAGAAAAGGGAAAAAATGGTACTAGTAGACATTATCCACCAATTAACATCAGTCTACTTTGGAGCCATTTTTAGCCAAGTAGAACATGGGAATAAAAGACGAAAGAATAAAAAATGAAAAGTAAAATGCAGCACCAGAGAGAAAGAAACTTACAAATTTTATGAAATTTTTGAAACTAAATTTATAAAGCAAAGAACGACATGAAGGAAAACAAAATTTTTAAAGCGATTCTCCCTCACTTTTTGGAGATTGTCTCAGTGCAGTGATCCATGCTTAAGCTGGCATCAGAGATTCTTGATGATATTGCATCAGCCCTCGTGTAAAAATCTATCCGTAGTTAGTAAAGCTCCAAGCTGGTTGTACAGCGTACCACCACTTTTTTCACATTAAGTCCATTTTATGCAGCAAAATCTCTTGTTCTTCCCAGCTATCAATTTAAATTGCATCCGTAAGGAAAATAGTATTTTAAAAAATCAGGAATAGTACTTGAGGAAGACTAATAGAATTGCACAAGATAGTTTATCTGGGCTAGGTTTTCACATCTCTCCCCGGACATCCTTAATTACTGGAGGCTGTGGCAAAAGTGCCTGAGAATATGCTCCATACATTTTGAAGTATATTGTAAACATTTCTGACATGCTGAGTCAGATCTCCGTTTAAAACATCATTCTTAACTCTCCCAATTTTGAGTAGACTTTTTTCACCATCTCATTGCAGGCTCTATAAATTTCTAACACTTTTCTACTAGTTTTTCTTTATTTAACCTGCTCTAATTTCCGTTGTTGCTATCAGGATAAGAAGAAGGATGAAAAGAAAGAAGAAATATCCCTAGAAGACCTGATAGAAAGGGAACGAGAAGCATTAGCGTCCAAGAACTTTACTAAAGTGACACTAGAAACCTTTTTAGCTTGGAAGAAGCGGAAACTCAAAGAGAAGAAGGATTCAGCATTGAAGAGTGAGGAAAAGAAACGATTAGATTTCAAAGCTGGTAGACAAGCAGGGGTAAGTTGTATGTTTTGAATTTTTTACACTTTCATTGAAAATGTAAGAATTACGAATGAGCAGTCCCTGTAAGATCGACAACCCAACATTACTCTAGGAACTTGGTAAAGCAAGTCGTTCCCTGGCTTTATTAGGAGGGCAGTGGCAAGGAATTTTTGCAGGGCTGTAGTACAGTTTTTTTTCTTTAGTAAAATTTTGTGGGGAAAAAAATTTCATGGAAAAGTTCAAAAAAATCTCTCCAAGGGGAGAAAAAGCTAATCATAAGCCGTCAGTAAATTTGATGTAGTGAGGTAATTCTGCTTATCAGGAAGCACTGTTTCCTTAATTTGGTTACATCATCAAAGGCCCGCCAAAAATATAGTTTCAAAGGGGTCTCATTTTTGACATTTTCTGAATGGGGTTTCTTTGTCCTTTGGGTAGAAAAATCAAATAAAATTTCTTGAAAGTCAGTTCAAGCCTTACTTTCAGAAAACGAATTTAAACTAATGGGTGCCACTGACCCAATGTGCATTTTGAAATCTTTAATCACCAGTAAGATCGTGGCCTCAGATGTTTACTTGATACTTTCTGTTCGTTGCCACTGCATTTTACCTGTTTTGACATCTGCCGAGTATTTCTGTAACATTTTAATATAATTTTCTCTTTATTATATTCCTCTGTATATTGAAAACTGAGTAGGTATGTGAAAAAAATTCTTCAAATACCTACCTATCAACGGTCCTCGAATTTTCAGTGATAATCTCGCAGTTTTATCTTCATTATCAATTTTTCATCCTCACCAGAGCAGTCGTAAAATATAATTGGACGTATTTCTGCCAAACGGAACTATGTGCATTAAGACGTGAGCCCTGCTTCCTATAAGAATAAATGCATAACAGGGCTCACATCTTAATGCACATAGTTCCGTTTGGCAGAAATCCGTCCAATTTCAAACCAGAAAATGATCCAAACTGATCCTATGAAGAGGTTCTTTGAATCTAAACCCCGATCTAAACCTTTTTGTGGAATATAAATTTTTGATTTGCTGTGATTCTAGTTAAACTAGCGTATTATCTTGCAAAATGAACACAAGCCAAACAAATCCTCAAAACGGAAGAAGTGTAGAATCATGTCTCACTTGTATTTTTAAATGACCTATTTGTCCCAAAATTTACCGGGTGGTTTTATCAGCGGAATCAATTCTTGGGTAATTGTAATCGCTTACCTGCCAGAATTGCTATGATGATTTAAATATGTCGTCTTATGCTGAGCTAGTAGTCAAAGGATATTTTGAATATGTGCTTAAATTTTTAATTTCCGATTTATTCCATTTCGTTTGCTTACCTAATTTTGTCTTATTAGATTCCTTATGTCTTTGCTGTAAAATTTGAACCTCAAACCATAGATATAAGTGAAGGCTATCAGCAATGGAAACTGCATATATTAGAATCTGTTGTGAATGTATCTGACTGGAAACGATGAAATGCCCAGTCTCCACTTTCCAATGAAGGGAACCATCTTACATTGTTTAATTAACAAATTTGTGTATTTTAGCTGTCTGGGCGTGATATGTTCTTATTCAATCCAGAACTTATCCGAGGCGATGATTGTGAAGACGGTGATGTTGCTTATGATACTTATCAAAGAAATGAGGATGACGATGATAGCAGTGTTAAGGTAATTTTTCCATACTAAAGCATGATATATTGAACAATATGGGAGTCATAATGTCTCATAGCTAAAATTGAGGTACTAATTTCGATGGAAAATTTGCACTTGAAAATTTTGGTTAAGTCTGAGAGTGTTTAATGAGCTGAGTTTTCAGTATTTTTCATAATTTTTTTCTGACATGGAAAATTAGAGAAAAATTGATTTAAAAGTGAGAAAATGTGCCGCCTCATAACGCCATCTGGCAGCATTTTCCATTTAAACTCATGTATTTTAGCAGATTCGGCTATTTCGTCATATTTTCTCTAATAATTGTCCAATTTAGAAACCAAGGATATCCTCGCACTCAGTTTTCCTAGTAGTATTATTATAAAGATGAAATTCACAAAAGGACCCCGCACACCTCTTATGGGAAGCTGCACCATGAAGAAACCTTAATGTTTTTAACTCAAGATGCTGATCAAAAGTTATCATCGCGCCAACTTTCTATGCTGCACCGTTTTCGCAAAAACGGCCGAGAAGATTTAATTATTCGGCGACAATGAATAACAAAGAACAAAGCATTTGAGAACAGGCCCGATGTAAATATGGAAAAAACGTAACGCGTGTCCGTCTTCTTATCTGTACCTGCTGACTCTGGGGCTATCTCTCTCCTGCTCTCGTCCGGTTGACGTTTACTGTTTTCCTCCGACTTTCCTGTTCTTATGCTCTTCAAGAATCTGATTTGGATGGTCGAGCAAAACAGTGTGCGGAATCCGAGATGAAATTGCCGGTCGGTGCGGGAGTTCCCCTGATTTCCTTCACTCTAGTGCTGCAATGAGGAATCTATCCGGCCGTTTATCACTGAATAATTGAATCTTCTCGGCCGTTTTTTGCGAAAACGGTGCATCGTTGAAAGTTGGCGCAATGACAACTTTTGATTAGCATCTTGAGGAGAATTGAATGGTTAAGAACAATTAAGGTTTCTTCATGGTGCAGCTTCCATAAGAGGTGTGCGAGGTCCTTCAAGACACCTGCAAATACCCTGTTCATGAGAGAATTAATTTTTACGCCCTTTCAAGGATGAATGCTGAATTCTCAAACAAGCTATGTTCATCAAATCCATAGTCTTCAATAATGTAATATGTATATCCATTGCTTTAATGCTAGTATCCCAAAATCACTAGTTGCTTTGGAATAACTTTTTAAGCCACGAAGACCAATCAGGAGGATCCTGCTCCCCCTCCATTTTCATCTGTTTGGTGATAGTCGAGCACTGCTTTTGCCCTAATTATTTTTTTTTTAGAGGAATTCTTTTCCCCACTTATTTTAAAAATTCAAAATGTAAAATTCTGTACTGTTTTGCTGATTCATGACTTATTTCTCTATCCCTTATTGTCCTTATTTTGTACTGTATGTGTTGTTTTCTTTTTTTGCAGTACCATGAAATTGATCTAGAGAATGTTGAATTAGAAGAAGTGGATGATTCTGGTACTCAAGCTTCTATAGATAGGCTGAAACGGGAAGAAGAAGAATCGCCAAAATCTGGTAAGTTTTTTGGTTCTAGAGTTGGTGTTGTCATGGAAAAACTCAGGGAATCAGGGGTGGGCTCAGAGATCATATGGGAGAAGTTGTCTCTGGAAAGTTTTAAGACCTGTTCCGTAGGCAGGAGAAAATGTAACAAATTGACTAAAGTCGAGCATTTAAAAAAGTTAGGTACATAATACTGTAAAATGTTGTCAGTCCTCTTTAAATTGGATTGATTGATTTGACAAAATGGCGCTTCCAATCGAGTACAGATTACTGAGAATTCAATTCTTCGTGGCGTAACTACTTAACTAATCTTAAATTTTGCAGTTTCAGTTTTTTGCTTAGTGAAAAATCATTGAAAATAATGAAAAACACATAAATTGACACTTGTGAAAGCCCTTAAACTCTGACTCTCGAGCAAATAAGTTGTGTGTTAGGTCAGGGTCATTTCTTTTGTAGGCGTTTGCAGCCATGCTTGAAAGTGCCATTGGCGACACGATACCTCCTCAAGGGTATGTTACCTCCATTCCAAAAAATTTAATTTTTGCGATGACCTCTAAAAATTCGATTTTCATTGTATGCTTTCTGTTATGAATTAGTGTGAAATGGGAGGGTTTGATAACTGGCTTTTGTAAATTTTCAGATCTACTCCCAATGTTTTTGAACCTGCTCATTTGCAAAAGTTGACTTTGCTACATTTATTTTCTCTTAGTGGAAATCAAATAAGTTTAATGGTGTACAATATTATTCTTGTGCTGTTGTCTTTATGTGCAAAATTAACTGTTTTCTAAATGTCTGAGTTTAATCTTTAATTTTTCCCAGATGATGATGGTGCTGCTGCAGCTGTTCCAATCGATGAAGACCTCTTCCTAGAAGATGATGAAAATGATGTCGATGATGATGACCTGGATAATATAGATGAAGAATTAAAAGACCTAGGAATTGAATGAAACTCCCCTTGTGTCACAAACTCAGCATAAAATCTTATTATGTAACAATTCTCTGTCTGTAAATAAATTTTATTTCATTTAATGCATTCCTTTTTTTTTATGTTCCTTGGATTGTTCAGCAAGCACCTGCCCTCTTGTTGCATAATGATAGTTACTATAAAGTCATAAGGTTAGTGGATATTAAACAGGGTATCTAAGAATTAAATCAAAATTCCATGCAAAACATGTTAAACTAATCGAAAAAGTCCCACACAGGCCTGGATTGGCCAGGTAGGACTACTGGGACTTCTCCTGGTGCATGGTTTAGTCAAATGGCAGATCTGGTGGAAGAAATGTGTAAGAAGAAAAGAAAAAGATATGTAGAAAGAAGTAAGAAAAAGAAAGAGGAGGTTAGATTATTAACGATCTGGATCTGGCTTGGACCTGTGTTGGAAATTCATCTGATTCTGGAACACCCCAGCTGTGGTTTGTTTGTAAGGTATCCCTCTGTTTTTCTCCATACACATGTGCGTCGCTCCTCAGAAGCAGTAAATCAATGAGTCATGAACGAAAAAAGAACTAAAGATTTTTAAAAAGAACATTATTTCAGTAGATTAAAAAGTTAAAATAAATCAAGTAAAGATAAAGTATTTTATTTTGAAACAAAATATGAAATAAACGAATAAAGGAGTAATACTTATGCATGAACTTAATTTGGCACAGAAGTATCTATGAGCTGATGAGAACCAGAAAACAAAACCAATCAGTATCAGTAAACCAAATAAAGACATGGATGAAAGAATATATAAAATCAAATGCTATCAATGAAATTTAAAGAGCTGATAATTGTAAGAAAAGAGCCAAAGGGAAATTAATTTATTAAACAATGTTTTGACAAATAATATACGTAAAATCACTGCGCTCCTCCATTTTCGTACAACAAACAAGTTCTCATCAAACAAGTTCACGCACTTTTAGAGTAGGATAGAAAGTTCGCACCATCTTAATTCTTGCATTTACTTCCAAAGGTAAACCGAGGACATCTGATCTTGTGTGGTACGCTAAAAGTGCGTAAACTTATTTGGCAGAACTGTCATGAAAAAAGAAAGAAAGAAAGAGGGGACACAAGATAGATTATCTATCCTGTCATCAACCTGTGCCACTTAGGTGAGTGGCGTCCAGAGGAGGGGGGAGGGAAGTTGAAAACTGTCAATACGACTCAAAATTATATTAAAGTGTCATCTCCTCTATTCCATGACTTCCTTTTCCAGTTGCTGAAAACTGCGCATTGAAATACAAAATACAGGAACAAACTTGTTTTTGTTTTTGTCCCTCTGTTCGCCTTATGATTCAAAATCTGACTTAAAGAAAATTGGCATCCCAGTACTCAAGAACCTAAATCATCTGGTGGGTGCTGCATTGCAAAAAAAAACAAGTTCATCAAGTGTTTTTGTGAAGTGTCAAATTAGGATGAGAAGTTGCAAGGGAGGAGGGGGAGGAAGATAAAAATGTCACACAGGAGAGTGTGTATTTAAGATTGGCTCGTGCTTGTAAGAGTGNNNNGGGGGGGGGGGGGGGGGGGGATGAGAGTGCTGCTTGCCATGCAAACAAGTAACAGATAGCCCCCTGGTGGTGGAGGGAGTGGCTCAATTGAAGCTTGTTAGTTGTTAACTCTTCTTTCAGTCTCAGATCCAGTTTCCAGTGTTGGCACTGCAAAGGTGTCCTGTGTTGGAGAGGGAGTATTATGTAATGTCAATGCCTTGATTGTTATGTCACTCTTCTTCAGACTGCCCTCATGTGCTTGAAATTTTTAACTCAGTTTTGTTTATAAATAAGGTATTATAATTTTATTTGAAATTTGCTTCTTCATCTTGACCATCCCCTTTCTCGGTCATTTTCAATCTTTTTAAACAGGTAGATGAAAGTGATCTTAAAAAAGGCTGTGTTTCTTGCCTCAAAATTGTTTTGTATTATAGTTATCCCTTCAGCTCAAGGCAAGCTTTAAATGTTTGATCAGGTTTTATCACCTACAATTACTACATTATCAGTTACCTATTTAAGTGCTTAATTTTATTGAAAGATGCAATTTAGAAGAAATAAAAAATGCATTTTATTTGTGTATCGGATGGAAAATAATTTTTTTTCTTCTGTATTCAAATTTTTTTTATTTCGATATTAAAAATGTTTTTTTCCTGTATTTAATAAATTTTTTTCTTTACTTTTTATTCAATTTTTTTGTGAATTGAATTAATTTTTTTTTTTAAATTTTTTTATTCAATAAAATTTTAAGTAAATTGTAGGTACAGGTAATAAAAATTTAGCACCCGCAATCCATTATTTGAATACAGAAGGATCAAAATGAAATTCGAAAATTAAATTATGAAAATGAATATAATATTTTAAAAAAGAACATTGACCCATATGAAAATTTGTTTGTGGCTCTTTCCAGGTAGCACACAATTATTTATGGAATTTTTGCTTTTGTACCCAGTGAATTGTCAATTAAAAACTGTGTGGTAGCATCATTTTTTTTTGTTCAGGAAAGGAGCTTAGTGATAGCGAGTGCTACTGAATGTACCTACTAAGTACTTAAAAAGTCAAGACTTACATGAGTAGAGGATTTTGTTCTCTATGGCCGTCTAAGCTTTCCAGCTTTTGCCACCGTCAGGACGTAGAGCAGAAAGTAATTTTTTAACATTGATTGAAAGTATTGAACTGAAAGGTGACATGTGAGATTAATATCCTTTTATCTTAAAAAATTAGACAAAAATTCTTGTCCTTACAATCACATGAATCAAAGTTATATATTGCTCATTAGAATGCAGTGAATTTTTGGTTCATTCGCCTCTAAATATACATCAGTTTCAGTTCAATTATGTACCTAGATAGATGGTCCCATTTTTGGTGTATGTTACTGCCAACCTTAGTTAAGAAATGGGTTTATGTTTTTCTCAGGAGCAAACAATGGTGCTGTCATTTATAAAACAAGCATTTCAAAAACGACCTATGTTGGCAAACTCAGTCGTCTACGGGACTATGTGTGTAGGAGCCGAATTTTCTCAGCAGTACGTTACAAAACGGATTCTTGTAAGTACCAGCTCTTTCGTTATCGTGGCATGCCTCTCTCTTTGAATGTGGTAGAAAAGATCAACTTTATTTATATATTTTCTTTTTAATTTTATTTTTTACTGTTTTTTTCTCCTGGGTGGGAGGGGAAGACGGCAACAGATTATAGCAAATTTTTGATTGCAAAAAACCTGTTGCTTCTGACGATGTAGGTAATTATTTTTCTGTTCATAGTAGGTAAGTACTCAATGCTTTTCATTTGAAAGTTATATATTTTTGGGCTAATTCAGGACTCAGAGTTTTTCTGACAAAATTCAGATTTCTATTATTTGTTCATCTCAATCTTGTGATTTGTACTTAATCTGAAATCAGTTGCGTGAGAATTGTTTTTTTTTTTTCAATCTAAAGATAAAATGAATTCTGAAAAAATTCTACCATTCGTATTATTCTACTAAACATCAATTAAAACGATTATTAGATACCTATAAATCCTGCACTCATAGGCCCTGCACACATTTCAGCTTTCAATTTTTCTTTTAAAAATAAAAAAACAAGATTTTCTGCAAATCACTTTCACTAAGAAAACTTTGTTTAAGTAATTTGATGTTTGATTTGTTTTTTAACTTGCAGGATAAAAAGTCTCCACCAGAGCCAATTGACAAAGCATCTTTAGCGCGATACACCGTTTTAGGAACTTGTATCAATCCTAATATACTGTACTTTTGGTGAGTCAATTTTCTTTTACTGTTGCACGCCAGGATAGCTAACAAATGATCAAGTTTCAGAAATCTTTGCTATATACCGGGACCTCAATACATTTTAAGTTGTGAAAAAGAGCGTAGCTGCTTCATAAAAGCTTTTTAATTCAATGCAAAGCTATCACTATCAATTTAAAAATATAAGATAATACTTACAAAACATGTCCAAACAAATCTCCTAATTTCTCCTTGGATTTTTGTATTCACAGGTACAAATGGTTAGACAAGAATTTTGTTGGGACTGCTAAAAAAGTTGTTGTGAAGAAAGTGCTGATAGATCAGTTCTGTATGACACCTCCTCTTTACGTTATTTTCTACGTCAGTAAGTTCCTTTCTTTCTTAGACTCAATGAATTACAATGATATGGATAATCACTGATGTCTATTCAACTTATTACCTATTTATTTTAATTGACACTATTCTAAACGGATCTAAAGATGTAAAATAACTACACTTGCTTACAGCCAACCTTAAACGTATAGGTAGTTTTTTCTTCTTCTGTATTAATTAGGAAGAAAAGAAAATTTAATCAATTTTATGTCTTCACAGAACCAGTTGCAACAGTAGGGCTTCTTTAGTGTTCAAAAATGTTTAGCAGCTATGGAGATTTCTGTCACAGTTAGGCGAAAAGCTCAATTTGGTCTACACTTCTGAAATTTTTGTTAATTTTCTGCAAATTTAGAGATCATGTAGATAATTGATCATTATTTTTTATAGATAATGAAAATTTTAAACTTATTTCGCAATAACATATGTTATTGAGCTCCCAGAGAATCAAACGAAAGGTTGAAAAACACAATTTCTGTCTCATTTTCATTGGTTTTTCCACTGATTTGGGAAGCATTTTAAAAATTGCGTCTTTGATTTTCTGAGATCCTCCTTCTAGTAGATTAAGGAGACATCAAAATGATTTTGTTGGGGAATGCTGCTGTCTCTCTAAACAGTCAACTGAGCGGTGGAACGAAACGATTTTCATCAAATTTTCAGATCCAGTAAGTCATTAGTAAGTAGTATAAGTAAGTCAGTAAGATTCATCTTTTAATCGCAGTCATCAACCAGTTTTTCTCTATCAATTTTCACTTTTTCTGATGCAGGTATGAGTTTAATGGAGGGGAAACGAGACCTCTTGGCAGAGTGTAGGGAGAAATTTATACCTACTTTTCAAACAAGTTGTGTATTTTGGCTTCCCGCACAAGCCGTCAATTTTATGCTAGTTCCTCCTGCAGCAAGAGTTGTGTATGTTGGAACCTGCTCCTTTTTATGGATCAATATTCTTTGCTGGATCAAAAGGCGAGACTTCAAGCCATCAGAGGAGGCTTGAACTGAGGCAACTTTGAATGTTCTCTGTTTTCTGGTATGTATTAAGAGACAGAGAATAGGTATGCCAGTGTCATTTTAATCGTAACAGTTCCAATTTGAATGACGAAGAGATTGATTAAATCTCATCGTAATATCCTACTGTAATATCTCCTTAGATGACTGTAGAGGGGAGGATACTGTGATATTCCATTGTTTAAATTTATTGTAAGCAAGGGAAAAGTTCAAATGTGGGGCTGGAGGAAGAAGAGGGATACATGTGCAATATTTGAAAAATTGAGATAGTAATGATTTCAACTAAAACTAGTTTTAAAATATATTGTGTGAAAAATTCACTACTGAAATCCAATTTTTAAGAATTAAAAGTGAGTTTGAACTTTCCTCCTGCCATAAAGCTCCACATGATTTTGAATTTTTGAACATGCATTTCTTGAAATAGAAAAAACTGCACAGGTCTCACTTTTCCTCAACGCCCTTTCGACAAGGGATTTAGGCATACATTATCCTGGCCTGTACACAACCCATGAAGTGTGCCATGAAAGTAATGAGAGGGACTCGGGAGTGTGCAGGTATGATTTTCTGTTACACAATTTTGGCATATTTTTCGTTTCAAAGTGTGAGATTTTGCTGCACTTCTCTGCACTACCAAACACATAAATGTACTCATATAGTTATAAGACCATTTCAGTCAGTGCCATTCTAGAGCTATAAGTATTGTTATATATGCAAAAAAGAAGTATTTTTTCCCTGCCAAGTACAAATTAATAGTTCCAATGTGATATCATGTATTAAGGAGAACACTAACAGTATCGGCTTCAAGGAGTTTCTACATTTCTTCTTAAAATTAATTATCTCCACGATGGATGGACCCTTTTTATCTCTCAGAAAGCTCAAAGGAAAGATATTGGCATGGAGAGGCAAAATTTTAGGGTGTTCTGAGGGATAAAATAGGTCTGTTGTCCTGTAAAAGAGTGCAATACACAGGAGGGAGTACCTTTCTGACTAGAGAGCCTGCAATAATTGTTAGACGAATTCTGTTGAATTATGTTAATTAATTCTTTAGACTATCCCGAGTGAGGTTTTTGATGACCACTTCCTCTTTCTTTTTTCTACTTGTTTTATTTTAAATTATAATTTCAAATGAGGTTTTTCAGAGTGAAAAAATAAGACTTTTACTAGAGAGTCCAGTACTCCACACCTCATACTGACGACAACTTAGCATTTTGCTCCGTCAGCTTGAGCAGACGTGGTTTCCCAGGCTTGATTCTTTTGACAAGAAACAATAGATGCCAGATGAGGCAAACAAACAAATGAGTTTTGTGCTTATTCTACAGCTTTAATCATCTTGACTATCATGATTGGATAGTTGCATAAGCGAAATGAAAAGGGGGCGGAGGACCAACATTTTAAACTTGGTATGGAGCCTCATACCCATTACAATTTTGCAATGCTCTATTCAACCATCACAACTCTAGAACCAAAGTCGTTATTTTAAATCCTGACTTTATGTGTATTAAGTGTAGTATTCCGTATGAGAGAGACTCAAATTGCTTTAAGTGCCTCGAAAAGTGTCTTGATTAATTATTAATTTGCATTTATTTTGAGTGTACCAGTTTTGATGTTCAAATTTTTTTCTTCTTTTTTTGCTCTATTTTTAAAGAAAAAATACAAGTTTTTCAAGTTAATTACCTATTGTATACCTTTTTTTGGATGAACTTACATTACTTTTGAGCATTTATAACTACCCATTATATTGTTAATTTGTATAATTTTAGCCTGTTCAGAGTTCTTATTCAGTGAATTCTAATGCTGTGAAACTATCTATCACTATAAAGCATCTGTAGAAAGATAGATAGACGAGGTTATACAGAAAAGCCTAAGAATGACTCGGATTACTTTCTTTGCATTCATATTTTGAATTTTGATTTCGCCATTTGGTTCCTTTACTTTACTTGAGGCTGATACTGCAGCTTCACTTGTTTCGAGCAGAACGATCTAACGCAAGCAAAAAATGAGCTTCATGGGGTGTTTTTTTCCATTAAAGTTGCCAGAGACAAAATGAAGAAAAAGATAGCAGGTTTTAAATTTCTATGATTAAAATTTACTTTCAAATAGAAAATTAAAATGACAAAAATCTTAGATCACTATCAAATTATAGAGGGAAAAAATAGATAATTATAAACATTTTTTAAAATAAACTTAAATTTAGATTCTTAGAGTATCCAAATAAAGCCTTCAAAAGAGTGTAACTAAACTGTAGAACATTTACACCTTTCACTTTATTTACACGATAAGTGAAAGTTTTAAAATGAAAGTTATTTTCAAAGAGATCAAATCAATTACACTAGATAGCATTTGTCAAGTTACAATTTTTGATGTATGTACCAGTCAACAATATACAGGTATAATAAACAAAGCAGAGGATTCATCAGCTGCAACTTGTTGCTCCCCTGATGTAAGGGTGTATCTCGATTTCCATGTGAGTCCTATTTTACAAAGAAATCCATGCTTTCTGGGGCGTGAGATATGCCCTTACATCAGAGGAGAGACGAACACTCTTAAAATTTCTGCAATAATAATTTAAAAAATTGAATAATATTCCCATCAAAAGAGTCAGGAGTGAAGTTATCCTGCATTCCAATACTTAGGAACAGTTGTTCTGCATAATTCAGTTGGTTACAACTCAACTTAAGATCTGAATTTCCTTCGATTTTTGTACAAAAAATGCTAAGTGACAGAGAAACCTGTTTTTTTTTCCATATCTTAAGTTAAGCTCTCTGTTAATTGGGGATGTTTTTTTAAAAAAGAGAAAATCTTTGGTTTAATTGCATCCAAAAAGGCTTACATGTATAATTCTCGCAGCAAGAAGAAGCGTAAGCTGACTTTAGTCTAGCGTAAGTTCAGACTTTAGGGGTTAATAAATTCAATCAAAATTTATTTGACATCACTGATTAAAAAAAAGAAGAGGAGCAGTCAATAGATTTTTTAAGGGTAACCGAGTTAGAAAATTAGAAATCTCAGTGCATCAAATGTCTCCATTAATGAAACTAATTCTCACGCTGAAATCGTATCGCAATCTCAAAATCAAATCTGAGGTACTGAAGAAAAAATTATGTATGTTTTAAAAAGTATGAGATCGATAAATTATCAAGTAAAACAATCTATCATCACTGATGGATAGAGTTACTCCATTAAAATTAGTCAAGGGGTATAAAATATAATTTATTCTATGAAAGTGTGAAAATATTATTGTTTCTGGAGGAGAAGCTTTGAATCAAAACACAATTTGTTCAATCTTTTAGACAACGTGCTCCGCTCGCTCACCAGAGTACAATTATTTTACCTAATTTTGCTTTCAATTTTTTATTTTATGATAGTCAAAGGCTTGCTTCTATAAATTTGGAGTTAAAAACATTTATTCCACAGAGAATCTTTTAATTTGAATTTCAACAGCTTTAAGATAGCTTTGAGTAAAAGATTTTATTCATTCTGGCATAAGTCCTCAATGACAGATGACGAGGAAAGGAGAGGATAGGTCAGCCTCTGATTTGAATTATTTTGGTCTCAAATTGAAGCTTTCTCAATTAAAATTTAAATTGGCATTATTGAGTGTTAAAGGCAATGGGCAGACCTGAAAAAACCATCCATTCCCTGGTCCTATTTATTAATAAAAGCCTTCGTATGATGCATTTAGCATAGATTCTGCGTTTGTGTAGGTCTCTTCCTGCCTGAATAGCCCTTGGTCATAGCTACCTCATGGGGTTAGTGCTTCATAGGTTGTTGCTTTGATTTCTGCCTCGACTATCCTGATCAAATTTTAATACAAATATTTTCTTTCATCCCTCTTCTTACTTGAAACCTGTGAGTTCATTGATAAATCGGTGTGAATCAGCAGTTTACTTCTCTACTAATATTATTAGAAATACAGTCATAATTGTCAATTTTGGCATTAATGATACTGTTTTTAAAAACCGAGGTGGAATCGGCTTCAACATACTGACTGACTAAATCTAGGGCTCTCGAATTCATGTATTCATTATGCACACGAGAAAATCCAAAGTTGAGCAAAATTTCACTCATTTCACTAGCTCTTTCGACTCTATCTTTTTGGCTAGACTGAATTTGTGCAACTAAATGGATGTGCTGGCACATGTTTGAATGGACAACGTAATCCAAACATGAGCAAGAAAATTCATGGAAACAAGATTTACATTCCTCACACTGCAATTTACAGTTGCAATTAATATCGCGTCTTGAAACTGTATAACAGTTCACCAACTCCAAAGAGAAGACGGTCCACTCATGATCATTCTTAATGACTAGATCTCTCGAGAGCTTCAGGCTCTCCTTATGGTTTGCTTTCAGAACATCTGCCTTGTCTTTCAAGATCTCTTTGTCGACCTCATAAAACTGATGGTGAAGTTTACTGCACACAAAATCAAAAATAGCGTAGACTGATTCTTTCATGTCGACAACTTTTTGTGAGAGCTCCTCTATTTGTCTCGTGCACCGTAAGAAACACTCGATATGAACATTGGTATTCACTCCTGCATTTAGATGGTAGGCATACGACCATAGTGTAAATTGCTCATTTTTCAAGCATTCTTCATTGAAATAATGCTCAAATTCTTCAAAAACAGGGCTTGTCTTAAGAAAGATTTTAAATGAGTTTAGTAAAGTAACAAAATTTGATACAGTAGTTGTTTCTAGCATTTCTAGCAGTTTGACTAGGACCAACTCAGCCATCTCCAGATTTGGTACTTTAAGAGGTACGATTTGTTTCCATGCTTTTAGGACACTCCATGAGCTATACAACTGCGTTTTTGCCGGAGTCATGACAGAACACCATGCATCATACGCATCAGGTGACATTTCACTCATAAAGATGTTGGGCTCTAAACTTCCAACGTGGCTTTTGATCTCTTGGTAGAATATTTTCAACTGCCTTTTGTCAATTTTTTTGGAGACCAAAAATGCACAAGGATACGCATTTAACAAATCATTACGAATAAGCAAAGTGACAATTGAAAAATCACGGCAACTAAAACTATTATCAACACAAATTACATCACTTCCATAATTTTTCAAGACCCTCCTCTGAAAATCTGTCATAATGATTAACAAAAAGTCTTCATATTTTAGGAAAATGTACTTCCTACAGGATGCGTTATCATCTTTGAAGTACAAAACATTTGGATTACTAAAAACCCATGATGAAAAACTAGTAAACTCACAGCCTTGCTCGTTTTTGCAGGATTTGACATTACTATCCAGCGAAGAAGTAACATCTGGCCATTTCAAATGCTGAAGTTTGGCAGTTTCACCTTCAGTGTAGTGCTTCTCCACATTGGAGATTTCCTTAAACGAGAGGTTTTTATATAGTTTTTCACCCATAATTTTACATTGATAATCGGAAAGCTGCAATCGCTCTGATTCTTTTGAATGACCCAGATGGGTGCTTATGTACTTGCATTTAAAACCATTCTCTACTCCAGAAACAACGATTGAAGCAGGACACCAGAATCCTTTGCTTGGGCTTTTTTTCAACTTCTTTCCATCTTGGATTTTACTATCAGACTTGTGGCAAAAGAAAGTTGATGAAGTGGCTGTTCTGGAGTGCAAGACAAAACTTGAGCCAGTCTCAATTTCCGTTTTGATCTTCCAGTCGCTGAATGCTTCCATTGTGTCAAAGTGGAGTTCTGTCAAGGCAAGTGAAATATTGTGAGCTTCTGCATAATGAGAGTAAATGTCGTTGATGTCACTAGTCTGGGAGGTGAATAGACACAATGGGCACTTCCAAGAGAGGGAGACCTGCCTGTAGTCGATTGCGCCTGACTCATGTACACATTTGTGATACTTCAAATTCGAAAAACGAGTGTAAAACTTGTCGCAGAGATTGCATTGGAAATCACGTTTGATAGTGTGTTTACCTGGAAGAGAGGAAACTACTTTCATTACCTAGTTCAAGATTTTCGATGACCGGGTTTCAAAAGTCTTAATGGTAGCTTACATGGGATAACGATCTGATCAAACGGATCAGATCCCACGAGTATCACAAAAACGAAAAAACGGCTTGACACCAGCAGGAGCTTGAGGAAAAATTCAAGTTTGATTTCAAAAACTCGAAAGTGCTACTTAAAAGGAAAATGCAAGGGCAAGGTTGTACCATAAGGCAATTCAAATTAAACGTTATCCAATATATTAACTCGTATAATGATAACCTCGTGTGTAATGATATTAACTATAGACATGGTGACAATGTATAAGGTATTGCCTACATCTTGTTTTGTACACGTTTTTCTGATTGACTTTAATTGGTCAGTGCTTAAAACTCTAATCCAGAGATAGAAACACTCATATTTTAGCTTTGGTTTGATTGAAAACGCCAGAAATTTCTGGGGAAACGGCTCATGTTTCGTTTTATTGTTTTCAGCCTTGTTTCCCCAGTTTAAAATTCATTGTCATATGTGTTTTCAGGATATATTTTAAATTCATTTCTAACTAAATGTATGGTGGATAAATGTATGAAGTTGCTTCGAAGGCGCACTCTGGTGCTACGCAGCACCAAAACACCACGAGTGTCTGTCTTCCCGAAGGTTATGTGGCATTGACACCCTGCCGCCATTGTTTCATAAAAGAGACGGATTTGCTGTCATAATACCATCCTGCTGTCCTATTATTGAATGATCTATCTTTTACAGAGGTAAGAATGGGTACAAAATGAAAAAAGATATGTTTCCTTTGGTGAACAGCATACTTTTTTGGTAGTGTAGTTGGTCTTGACTTTTCTCTAGGTAATTTCTTGGACCTGAAGTTGATGGAAACTACAAAAAACCCTATTTTTGGACAGATTATTCACAATGCTCTCCCTTTTCTTTAAAATTGGGAATAATACTTAGAACAAAAGCATATTGTGGAATTTTATTCTTAAACAGAATTTCAGCATCTTGGAAACGGATTTCTTGCACTTTTTCGTTGCTTGATTTTTCAGTTCTAATGGAAAAATCATTAAAGAATCCTGTGCAGAATTGTGCCTGGTACTCATTCTAAAAACCTGTGGTCTGACCCAATCCCCCAAGGATTTTATAGGTAAATTTTTTCCTGTTTTAATGGGATCCTTAAGGTCCTGTTTCTGGGAAGAAACACTGATAGCAAAATTGCCTGAGGTCAAGTGGAGATTTACTAGACTAATGAGAAAATGCCTGAGGAGCACAGTCTCTTGAAGGTTTTGTTATTACATGTACCGCAGACAAAACAGTAAAAAAAATGGAAAAAATATAAAGAGTCAATAAAAATCATCAATCCTTTCCTTCATTTTACATGAATTTTTCTTGGATGTATACATAAAAGTGATGACAAACGGATGATTATCACTTTGTGCCCCGAGTTGTTAAAAGGGACTTTTTTCTTTGGTTTGGAATAGGATTTTGACACCTTCAAAAGGGTGCAAAAACTATCTCTCGATGATAAAAGGATTGATAACTTAAAAAAGAGAGGGAAATAGCATTTAAATTATTGCTCACCATCATGACTGCGCATGTGCCTGATCAACTGGTCTTTGCGGTCAAACGGTCTGTTACAAACTTCACAGGTATATCGTTTGATAGCATCATGGATGAGCTGATGTCGCTTCAAGGTATCTTTACGTGTAAATGACTTATTACAAACCAGGCATAGAAAATCTCCTTTCTGAAAAATGTAAATACAAATAGAAGTAGAGAGTGACAAATAATACGGCATGTGTCTATTTTTTAAAAAAAAACCTGTAACAGCTAGCCAATGAGCTCTAGCTCCCTAAAGGAATATCCAGGAGCAATAGCTTTGCAATTTTTACAAAATTGCGCACCGGTAATTTTGCCTTGGCATGAAAATTCATGAAAATTCAAGGAATTTCAAGTAAAGGAAAGAAAAAGTCAGACTTCTTACAGTTGATGATTAAGAAATTAGAAAAAATTAAGTTATGCTTTGCCTTATTCATTGTTAAAAAGTTTAAGGTATTCTTTTGAAGTTTGAACTAAAAGAGTCCATACCAGAGAAAATGTAAATTTAATACAAATAATACAAAAAACGAAAAAATAGCTACAATGCTACTGCAAATGAGTAAAGAGAAAAGAGAGTGTGATGAAACAGTAGGTACTAAAGGAGTAGATAAAGAAACAGGCAATAAAAAGGGAGAATGTTATAAATGCTGCTATATTGCAGCCAGAATTTGATGCAGGTAGACAGTTCAAGCAAGAGCAACGGAGTAAAGTGGTTTGAGAAACGAGTGACAGGAGTGAGCAAGACTGGTAGACAGTCCAGGATTTGAAAAAATGAACGAACAAACACACAGCGACCCTGCCAGAATTGCGAGATAGCAGGTTTTAATTAGTGCAGCGCCATGTGGTACATCAAAGTTCTCAAATAATGAGAGAGCTTGTAAAGCAGACCTGTTCAGCACACATTTTTTCCACAAAATGGTAATATATTCCTCCATTTAGCTCCAAGGTAGCAGAAAGCTTAAAAGTAAAAGAGTAAACGGAGACATTGAAATTGTTTCATAATTACCCTGCTCTCAAAATCTGGCATAATGAATGGTGCAAAGGTGCTTGATGGTAATCCATATGGTTCAACATCTGGCTCAAGTACTGCCTCTACAGTTTTATCTGAAAAAATAAGAGTCAAAATATAAAAATAAAATTGATCATGATATTTTTTGAAAATGCAAAAGGCAAATGGAAAGTGAGTCAGAAATAATGAGGATAAATGTAGTTAAGTATGAGAGCCGTGCGTCGTTAGGGAATCCATGAATGTGAGGAGAAATTTTTCGATGCAACTTTTTAATCTTAGCAAAAAACAGAAATGGTATTGGTTTTGAAAATTATTTGGCTCCATGCATACTTTTGACCTGTTTGTGGACCTTTTGAGAGGAAATTTTCCAAAAGTGAAGAATTTTAAGATTGAGATTGCGACTGATTTTAGCTTCGGAGAACATTACGCAAACCTGCCTAGTGCCACATTTTTGACTACCAGAAGGAACCCTCAAAATTTTATCTTGAATTAAGCTCAGGCTGGTCCCTTATAAGACCTTTACAGTAATGTCATTCCTGGGATAATAATGAGATTTTGCACTTCGGCAGATCTGTTCAAAAAGTAACAAGTACATCTAGGTAGGTGAGGGGATTCTTTGTATTTTCACTTTTCAAGAGTTTTTAAGTAAGCAGTTACTTCTAGAAGTAATTTATAGAAATGGCAGCATTGATAATGAGATGCTCTTATTGTTGTTCAAAACTCTTATTTTGTTTAGTTTAAAGATGGAACACAGGAAAAGAGGAATCTTTAATAGAGCACTAGACTGGAAACAGTTACTAAATATTAATAAAAAATAAATTAAAAAAATAATTTTACTTTAAGTAGGGTTTGAGTGGCGCTACATGGCTTTTCCCCCATTTCCCTTGAGCGCTTCTGGGAATTTGAAACAATGGGCAAGTACCTACTTTGCTATCACCTTCTGATGGCCCAGGCTTTTTGCCATACTTCTTCTAGCTGGTTTTTCTTATTCAGTTGGAAGGGTTAGAATTCTGTTTTATTTCTTTTTTTTTAAACAGTTCTAAAATATTTTTTGTTTCTCAAGGAGCACAAAATGTTTTCATTTGTGTACATCAAATATTAATAAAAGATTAACTTACCTTCATGAGATTTCAAATGACTCATGAGCTGGTTCTTATCGCTCAGCTCCACAAAACATTTAGGGCAGCCTATTTTTCTTACTTTGTGCGTTAAAAGGTGCCTCTTGAGGGATTCTTTATACTTAAATACTTTATTGCAAATATGACAAACTGTGATGCCCTCCTGCAAAAAAGAAAAAACAGAAATAAATGAAAAATCCAATCAACATCAATTTTTTTTTTTTTATAGAAGATCCGAATTGATGATTTATTGCACAACATAATACACAATATAGGAACAAGGAACAGATGCGCACAGTGCATTCATTGCATGAAAAAATACATATTAATATCGTATTAGTGAATAAAAAGAGGCTAACATCAAAATTGGCATTGGCCTGAGGGAAATTTCAATATTTCATGAAATGAGTGAAAATTTCGGCCGGAGCATTATCATTAGGCTATGTTATGGAAACATTTTTTTTTGTTTGAAAGGACAATGGACCAGTAGGCAAGGTGCAAAGTGAATCATTCTGCTATAGGTTTCCCAATTAAAAGTTTAGGTAGAGCTTGATTCGAAAATTGCTAAAATTAACTCCTAACTGAGATATTTAACGTTAATTGATGCGTGAATTTAAACCTCCTACTTATAAAAAAAAGCGAACCTTCTTGTAAGTTGAATCGTGCACTAGATGTTGCCATGATAGTTTCTGCAGGATGAAAATATGATAACCTCAATCTTGGCGCTTCTGCTCAGTTGCTGCTTGTTGTTTACACTTCCAACAACACAGGGTAGGGAAGGAACATTGCTTGATTAAGAAACTCACCACAACCGTTGTAGGGCACGATTCGACTCAAGTAGAGTATTATTTCCTTGTAAGAGGGTAATTCCAATTTTTCGTAACCAATCCAAACTGGAAACATTAATATCTTGCTTATGAGTTACTTTAAGCAATTTTTGTTAGGTACCCGAATCAAGCTCTACATGAAATTTTGAAAATTCTTCAATTCGTACTTTGTCAAGGAAAGAGTACACAAAGTGCTTGATGAAACATACGTGACAGAGAGAACAAATAATAGTATCATTTACCCTACTTACATTTAAAAACTGTATTGATTCACTCCACTGATTACCTTTGCCCCTACTTTGGGAACTTGCTATAAGTGCTGTCAGGTAGCTGGGATCTAGAAGAACACGATAGAAACACAACAAGTTAATGCCTTTTGCAATACAGCTCACAGTCTTTTGACTTACTGAGAGGCTCCTCCAGAAGTATTGAAGTTCAGAAGACCAGAACTTTCTATGGGATTTTTTTTATGATTTTGGCCAAAAAATTAAAAAAATTTGAGAGAGAGGAGGAAAACAAATTTAGGGCTTTGATAGTCTGTTTTTTTTGGCTTTGAGTTGAGCTCAAGTTTTCATCTCTCTTACAAGTCGATATTGGCTTTGTTGATCTTTCAATGACTTTTCAATTGGATTAAGCTTAAAAAAAATTGAGTTGAGCTTAAGCTACTTTGAGCGTAAACTGGTAAAATTATTTTGGATTATGGCCAAACCAACAGACACCTTTCAAAGGTTTGCACAGCCCTACTATTCTACCATCCTTCTATTTTCTGATCGGTGCTGAGTGAGAGGGAGAAGCCTGTTTTCCACATCAACAATTTCCTGTGTTCAAGAAATAAAAGATACAGAATTCTGAGTACGTACCATCATGAGATCTCATATGCCTTTTCAATAAATCTTTCCTGAAGAATGCTTTCGGACACTCATTACAGCTGAATTTCTTGACAGCACCGTGATTTTCTGAATGACGTTTAAAAGAGTCTTTGCGCAAAAATTTTTTTCCACAAGTATCACAGATAAAATCTCCAATCTGCAAAAAGACAGAGCATAATAACTGCATTGATCAATCAAGACAACATTCCCACCAATTATTCAATCCACGGACCAATATGAGTCACTGTAACTTGTTGGCTTCAAATTAAAATAGGCATATATTAAAATAAGCCACATATTTGATGTTCAAGGTATGTTTAAAAAGCAACAATCTGTCGGGTAGAATTTTTCTTTGCTTAATATTTAAGAGGAGAGAAATCTCCTTCATTTTTACATAATTAAATTTAGGTTTGCATGTACGTAGAAATTCTTCAGACACTTTTGAGAACGATTAGACTGTTGATCAAACAATTGATAATTTATGAGCTTTTAGAATTTTTCCCCAAAAATCTCCAGTATTCACATAATGTGGGGGTATGTCAGATGTTTCTTCATACAATTCGACCTTTGATTATTATTAATGACTTAGAAAGTACATACCAAGTAAAAATTGCAGATCAAAAGACAAGACAGTTTGAGATATTCACTCAAGACATGTCAGAATCATTTTTAAGTATTCTTTGTTCGATTCCTATGTATGAGTACCTGACACACTACGGCATGATAAGAATAATTCAGATTTTTGGAAAAATGTTTTACAATTCAAAATTATCAAGTACTTATTGGATTATCGAATCGTTCTAAAAAGAGTTAAAAAATCACCTCGATGGACATGTTCTAAGAATAGAGGAACCTAATGTAATACATTTTGTTGGAGAAAGAGCTTCCCTTCTGAATTGTCAAAAAAACCGGGATTGGGTTAAAAACCACTTACAGGATGAGGCTTGATTCTCTAAATGCTGGGTTCTACAGTAAGCCTTTAGAACAATTTTGAGAAATAAGGGACTAAACACATTGTTAAAAAGGTCTAGAGTTCTTTACCTGACTTTCTAATCCAGAAAATAAAAGTTGTGTTGCGAAAGGTGAAATAATGTTTTTATCACTTTTAAAATACTCTGTTGGAACTTTCAGGTTCTTCAAATCTGTAACAAATTTAAAATGCACTCAGAATCAGGATTGAAAAGATACATATTACAGAACGACAGAAACATGGAAAATGATACTTGTAAAGAAGAGGCTAAATCTTACCAAACCTCTTTTTATTGCAAAAAATAAAGTAGCTTAAACTTGATTAAGAAAATGCTCTCATTTCTATCAACCCATTCTTCAATAGGTGACCCTTTTTTTTCTTTGATTGAGCAAACTCCATTGTTTATCAAAATTCTGGAATATTTTTATAAGGTAATGTGCCTGAAAAACTTGTCCATTTTCATAAATCTGGGAGAACACAATGGAAATTGTGTTCTGAAGATGCTCATGTAAGCTGTAAACAGGGTTGCCAGCGACCGGGAAAAGTCAGGGAAAAAAAATCAACCGGGAAAAGTCAGGGAATTTCGGTGTTGGTCAGGGATTTTTCTGATTTTTCGTGGAATTAGGCACGGGCGGTCTCGGGCTCGCGTTGCGGGATCAATTTGGCAATCTGACTGCGTCAGATCCATACTTAAAAGTCAGGGAAAAATATTGGAAAGTCAGGGAAAAGTCAGGGAATGGAAAAAAATAATTTGGCTGGCAGCCCTGTGTAAATAGTTTCTAGAACAAAATAAATCCCTAAAATGTTCTGATCCAATTAAATCTTTGGAGGAAAGATGAGTGGATTTCCATGTCTTCAGCAGTTCATACAGGTTTGGATAACACGGTAGAATCTGTAGTATTTTTGTGAATGGCTCAATGACACATGCTTTAATTTGATGTAAAAAAAGTGAAAACCGCTCCAATAGATCCCAGACATAGGTATTGAAGCACTCTTCTAGAGGCAACTTTGAGAAAAATGGAGGTAGAATACATTCTGTCTTAAAGGCGTCTGGGATAACACAGAGAGAAAAACAGAAGTTTCATAATTTTCCAAACATCAGGGCATCAAGAGCTTTCAACGGCATCAATCACCCCTGAAATCAGTCTGGAGGAACTCCCAAAATAGGTGTAACAGACCAATCCTCAACAATTTTATTCAAGTAAATAAAATTTACCTAGAACGTATTTCTGATAGTGAACCAACTGATGGCGATTGACTGAGTCTTTGCGGGTAAATCTTTTATCACAGATATCACAGGTGAATTTGTCTTTCTGTGAAAAAAAAGAGAGGAAACAATAAATTAGAAGCTAAGTGTACAGTATCTAAAAGCATTGGGTATATTTTTGAAGCATGCGTCTAACTGGTGGGACCAGGTGATTAAAAGAAAATTATTTTACCTCTCCAAAACTATCACAAATTGTTGTAATTACTCTCAATGTAAAGACTGTCACACCGCTCAGTTTCAAAGCGAGTGCCTTCATATTTTTGAAGAGTCATTTACATTTTTCTGCATTCATCATGCGTGATCACAGGCTATCGGCTATCATGGATTCCCAGACGAGACAATGTAACTGCATTCTAAGATAACAAGATTGACTGGGAAAATTCAATTCTTTACAAGAGTATCACTGGGAAATTTCTGCTGAAATGTTTGTTGATTATTGTGTGAACTTATTCGAATGAAAAATCAATGAAATTTTCGGTAAAAAATTTCCAACAGTTTTTCAATAATAGCAGAATTTGCAAAAGTAAATTTTGCAGCAAGAGATGGGTCAGTTACACCCTGGACATAAGATAAACTGACCACACGGATTATTTTGAGGTGAAATCATTTGAAAATTTCAAACGTGTACTCTTTAATGCACAATCTGCATAGCCTGACGCATTTCACAAATTCTAGAATCCACAGGCACTATTTTCTCAGCCAGCACCAACCAGGGTTGCTGAAAAAGAAGTGTGAAAAACTATGCCTAAGACACGAACAATCTTACAAGTTATCATCAATCTTTTTCACATAAGATTCCAAAGTCTTAATGTATTTGCTTGCCCTTTCAGAGGTAAGGGCCTAAATGAATGCTCAAAAAATAGAAAACATTCATTAGAAGGATTACTAAAAATGCCCTGTAGGATTTTGACACACCCTCTCATAAAAATTGCTTGGTGAACATCTTACTTGTCCACGATGTTCAATTTCAGATGCCACAATCTGCCTAGAGAGCTCTGCACAAACTTCATGGCTGCCTCTGTCATGTGCAGGGCCTGTAGACATTTCTTTCATAGAGCCTCAGGGAGGCAAGATACAGATGAGTTCGGTCCAGAGCTACAACTATAGATTCATTGACTTTGGAGCCTGTAGACAGTCAAATAAAATAAATCTTCAGGTTAATCTGAGCAGTAATCAGAAGTCAGGTAGAGAGGTGAGAAGGAAATATACAATACAGGTGCAGAAACTTCCGACCATGCAACCGGCCTTGTCAGGCGAATTGGAGGGGGGCTTCACAATAATGGGAACAAATAGGTGGCCCCAATCAAAATGCAGCATTTTAGCGGTGAAAAAGTAGGATGTTGTGCGTTAAAGGGTTCTTTTTTTTTTGCTCTCCACAGGCAAACTATCATGAATTTAGGTTAAAAATTGAGGGAGGTTGATTAAATTTAGAGGAAGGTTTGGAACTTTCTGTACTCCCGGCATACAAAAAATTTGAGGATTTTGTCTTTTTTTTAGCTTCTAGATTCAAATATTGGGGAAGAGTGCAAAAATATGGTTCCAGCAAAAAAAGTTCATACTTTACTTCCGCGACTGGTGACCTATGAAACTTACAGAATGATGTCGATGCAATACTGCCATACTGAGACAGAACACCGTGTGAGCCCTCAGATGTTGCCAAATTTCCTCTGGTACATCAACAATATTCTGGAATATTTTTCTGTGAACTTTTATAGAATTTTGATCTGAAGTATCCTAAATCTCCAAGGATACGTATTCATAACTTTCTGGAAATATAACTATTTTATCAGGGGAAATACGGCAACATGCATACTTAATTTCACAAAACATTCTTCCTTGGCACAGCAAAATAAGTATATCTTTACCTACTTGCAGTGTAAGCAAAGGACTACTGAATTATTTTACCTTCGGTATGTAATTGGCGGCTAAGCACCTCAGGTTAGATGTTCTGATAATGCTTTGCTGCCTACTTCCTGTGCGTGAGAATGGGACAAACATCTACAATGAGGATCAGTATACTTACATACATGTTACGACTTCATAGTGCAGCCCTCAATCGGTAGCACTTATCGCACTCTTATTGAAACTTTCAGGAATCCAAAAGAGTATCATTAGGAAAGTGACATTATTCAGCATCAGCCCTAGTCAGATTCCACAAGAAGTTGCTGCACAACATGATCTACCGACTTAGAAGCCATATACAATATTCTATGATCCTCGTCCATGATCATTCTCCGAGATTATATCAGCCATTAGCTTGCAGACATTAAAGAGCAATAATGTGGCATTTGAAATGGTGACCGTATAAGTTGTCTTTTTATTGTATTTTCTGTGTAAGTCTTCCTAAACGATAGCAAATTTGAGCTTGGTTGCCCCGAGTCTAGATGGCAATGAGAAATATTTGAGGTGCCAAGTAAACAGTGCGGCATTGCTATAGAGGAATAAAACAATAATATAAATGTTTTTCGTGAGATAAGCGATAATAACAAAAAATTTGGGCTTTGTGCGCAGGAGATGAAAATTGATACTTACCGAGTTAAAAAAAGAGATATGCACATGGGTCAATATTGACTTTTGATAACTGCTATCGGCATGAAAAAGACTCCTGATGGCTGTGAATAAAGTGCCCCTACGAGTTAAAAGAATTGTGTTTCAGTAATTCTGGAGGTAACTTGAACTTCTCGAACACAAATAATTTATATTTTTATTGATATTGAAGTAAACTACTGACATAACCTGGAATAACCATAAACTCAAACATAGGGCGAAGGTTAATTATAGAGGGGTGATTACAGATGGGTTACAAAGTGGTTTCGACGTCAGTGAATTTGCTTGACAGCAATGTATTGCAAATTGCATAATTTGACTATTTGTTAATATTGAATCACAACGTCAATGGATGAAGCGTTTGGTTCTAATATTATTGCATATTTTTAAAAAGATAACCTTCTTCTCAGATCAAATGTTCATTTCTTTCAGCTTCTAAATTTTGCCTATCATTTGACGTAGAGTACCAGTACCTACACAAGTACTCTAATTCGACTGATAATACTCTGCGGCTGCGGCTCTATGGAATTTCAGTGTCTATGTTAGATATCGTCCTCCGCGAGATATTTACGTTCTCCTGCGAAAAGTTTGGCGAAAACTTGCGGAGTTCTTCAGGAAATCTTTATCTTGCTGCTGAATTCTTTTCAAGGTACAGGTACGTGTTATTACTTTCAAAGTTCCGTATAACGCTATTCAATCCCTGAGCTTTTTTTGTCAAAGATGCAATCCCTATCACCCGTACTCCTGATCAATACAAGGAGTCATATGAGCTCCGTCATTTCAGGCCCTCTTCATCCCGTGTCATTTAATCATGATATTTCGCAGCTGCGAATAATTTCTGTAATCAATTCTTTTATTAAGCAGTCTACTAGATTTTTCACTCATGAAGTTCATTTTGTCTCACTTACTTGCCTAATCATTTCCATAAATGTTAGAAGTACTTATGTGGGCCATAGAAACTTGACATTGAACCAGAGCGCACATTTTTGTGAGCTCCTATGTGTATTGATGTTTCTTAATTGTCTTGGTGTTTTTGATTATTTTCGGCCCTCATTGGATGAAATCTGATAGCAGGTAGTTTCTTGGTTGTAGGTTATCGGGTGATTCAATTCAGGTGCGCAATGGTCAATGAAAAAGATGTGACCTCGGCCACAGATGCAGAACCATCAAAACGGTCCCAGTCATCTACTCCACCGACGTTAACAAATGTATTCAGAAATGACGGTAGTTTTTTAGAAATGTTCAAAAAGCTTCAAGAAACTAGTGGCTCATCACTTAAACCTCCAGCCGCCAAAATACCTGTTCCTAGCAGTGATTCATCGTGTAGCAAAAGCAAGCCCTCAATACCTTTTGTCGGCAAAAGGCGAGGAGGCAAAGTTTTACCTTGTGGTAAGGTAAAGAAAGTTAAGACATCCGACACAGAGGAGAAGGATGATGAACCTAAAGACGCTTGGTCCCAATATTTGAAAGAAGTTAAAAAGTACAGAGAGGCCAACTGCGATGAAGAAGATAACAAAACTCGACCACTTGTAAAGTAGATGTGTCACAGCCTAACCTGTAAATTTTGTATTCAAAGTGTATTTAATGACAGTGGGATATTGTGTACATTTTATAAAAAATTCGATTACTTTTTTCATCTGTATATACTGTAAATATACACGAATCAGTTTTTTTAATTTTTGTTAATTCCAAAGGCTAGACTGTTTTTAAAAGAAATAATTGGAATTATGTATTCTGAAACCGTAACTTTTTTAAGAATTTAGCTTACCCTTTTGCTAAATTTTCCAAGTTCCTGTCACAGTTTTGGGAATTGCTGTGACATATGTACACTCTCAACAGCTTTTACCTCCCAACAGACCTTAGTCGGAAGGATGATTAAGGAAGAATGGAAAAAATTAAAAAATTACGAGGTAATTAAAACTGTCTCAATTCATAACTTTTTCAAAATTGGCACTTAGTCAGCACATGGTAATTTATTTTCATGGTAACTGTCTGTGGATTTTTTCTGGATTCTTCTTAAAAAGGACATGTATACAAATGGAAACTTTTTCCAATACTGTAGGTATTCATTCGAACTCTTCTCAAGGACATCTGGTACTTATTAGCCGTGCATTCTGAATTGTGATTTTGATAACAATTTTTGATAATGTGAGTCAATTCCTAAGTATTGAACACTGTTTTATTAGAGAACAGGTTAGAGCCTGCTGGGTTCTCTTAAGATTTGTAAAAGAACCTTTAACTATGTTTTCCAATGTTCTGTTAAGCGGCTAGTTGTGTGTTCCCAACAGTAAACATTTTAATGTAAATTCTGAAATCATAGGCAAGGCTAATTATAAGATCTCTTACTGAAGTGTAAAGATTTCTCGACCACAGGACAGGTAGGTCTCATCCAAGAGTAGGAGAAAAGGCCCTGGGAATTAGAAATATGGAAATATTGTCAGTAAGTTCCCTGCAATCCATTTGCAAACAGTAATGAAAGAAAAAACATATATTAAAATGGGTCATTTTAAACATCTGGGGGAAAATGGGGTTCTTCGCCAGAAAAGCCAATGTAAAGAATAGGAAGGGTTAGAACTTCAGGCATCCCTGAAACTTTCAGTCAACTATGAAGATCAGTCAGTTCACCATCAGAAGTTACTGTCATTTCTGTTCCTCCAAAATCCGGATCATACGGTGAAACAAAAACCCATCGACAGGCTTTGTGCAATGAACCATTTTGTTTTTTTTTAAAAAAAGGGGGGATCAATTGAAAAAAATTCCCTCATCTTTGTTTATAATCATTGAATTGATTGAAAAACTATTACAGGACACTAAAGAATAATTTTTTCTTAAAAAAATGAGGAAGAATTCTCCAGAATCCAACCAAAAAATTCTTGTTCCTAAGCCTGAGGGCTTTTAAAAGTTGAGAAGAAAATGAAGAAAGTTTGTTCAGTGAATCAGATCATATCAAGCTGAAGGAACTCCTGGACAAAAATTACAGTATTCAGTTACTTTTTGTGCAGATCATCACAAAATGCGGCACAACAATTCTTTTGAATATCAGCCTCGTCTTGAAACATCTCCAGCGGCTGTGGACAAGTTGACAGTTTTTTTGTCCATAATATCATATTTGAAGCTACAGAAAGCTTTTAATTTCTCTGGGGGCATATTTATGGCCAAAGTGCAAAACAACATATCCTCATTGGGACGTTCCAAAATTTCTGCTCCTACTTTATTTAGTCCAAGAAAAACAAGCCATTTTTATAGCTTGAAATTCATTCAGAATTTTCTGCTATCAGGAATAAAAAAAATCTTGGAAGTCTTCAAGTAATAATGTTGGCTCTTTTTCCAAAGAAAAAATAAAGTATGACAGGAAGTCTTACTTTAGGAAAGTCAGTTAAATCCCTTCGTAAATTGCGACAAAAATTAATAAAGTTCTGATTGCTGTGTGATTTTTTCAATAATTCTTTTTCTGCAAATTTAGTGCCAATCTTGAATACGTGAAGATATAAATCCAGTGTTGGCTGCAATGTATTGAGTTTTTTCAGGCTATTAAGAAAAATACAGAAAATAGTCATCTTTGTATCGGGTCCAAAAAATAAATTGCTGATTCAACAATTCAATTGCTAAAAACAGTGAGTGCAATGTTTCAACATAGATTTTACAACAAAAAAGTGCTTCTCTAACCACATAGTAAACTAATTTAACCACGGGGGTGGTTAAAGAAGCATTTTTTTGTTGTAAAATCTACATTGAAACATTGCACTCACCGTTTTTAGCAATTGAATTGACGAATCAACAATTTAATTTTTTTCCGTGTGGTTTTAGAAGAGCCTTGAATATTATCACAAATCTACCAATCCTACCTCTCTTTTTCATGAGGGATTTAAAGACTTTTACTATTAATTTTCTCCTTTCCTAAGTTTCCTCTTATCTGGGTCTAAGTCATTGTCTTCTTATTTATCAGTTTTAATCTGCTGACTCACATAATTTTTCATTTGTTGCCAGATTCTGAGTGATGCCATCTGCCATCATGGCTTCCAAAGAGAAAAAGGAATTTAAGTTTGAAACAGCCCCATTTGACCCCCGATTTCCCAACCAAAATCAAACCAGGTATGTGATAGTTTTCCTTTTTTGCTAAGTCACAGTCTTGCAGAGGTTACCTCATTCTTTGCTGAGTAGGGTAACCGACCTCATAAAGCTTCCCCTTTTTTCCAGTTTTTAAATTAGAAAATTGTGGGAACAGAGAAAGCGGGGAAAATGAAGAAAATTAAACAAAAAACCAAGTAGTTTTAAAGTCTTATTAAGTTGTGCAGTATGTCTAGAAAAGTCAGCAAATCAAGTATGATTTGCCAGCATCTTGAAGATTAAGTAGAGCTTCGTCGAAGAGAGTCGTCTCCCAAGACTGGTAAAATTAGCCAAAAAATTCTCGAGAATTCACCCCCCCCCCCCCGTAAATATTTACAGGCACAAGCCATTTTTTCTGAAGTCCCTTGAATGATTCTCAAGTCTATTTAGTAGTGCTAGGGTGTTCACTAATTCATTTTATGTGGGGTCCCTTAAAAAATGGTCCAGAAGTCCTTAAAAGGTATTTAATGACCACCTGAAACCAATTATTTTTGCTTAACATAGACTCTAACGCCAACAACTTTTGAGTCATAGGAAACCTGGGTGGGGTTGATTTTGACCCTCAATGTCACTCCTCCTTTGGTTGTTAAAATGTCATTTAAGCTCTTTTTAGTGCATTTTAGTTTATTCATGGTTTGTATAAACTCGCCTGCTTTTGGGACCTTGGTTACGTTTTTGATATAGAATACTATGTACTGGTAAGAATATTAATAATTTTGCTTCTTACCTTCCAGTTGAAAATCTTATCATTTCTTTCCACCCTGCTTTTTTTTGTTCGCTGAAAACAAAGTCTTTGATTAATCTAAATGTTCATTGGTGAAGAGAAGTGACGAGCAGTAATTGAAAGCTGGTAAGCGCCATTCGTGTTGCTAAAATTGTGCATGGTTTTTCAAAGTGTGAAAGAATTTTAATACTTCCGCATTGCGGATTTTTATTAGGATTTTTTCTCTATTTTCTGGTCTGTAGAGTTGTCGTCTTCAGGCTTGCACAATCTTAGGAACAGATGATGGCACTTATCTAGTTTTGAACTCTTCTCAACTTATTTAGCAAGCTCAAAATTTCTCTACTAAGGTTGGTCTCTTAAAGCTGCAACTATGAAGAACATGCTTATCATTGAACCATGTTCTCTGAATCGAAAAAAAAATTGGAATTTTTTCATCAAGTGTAATTTTAGGTAATTTAAACTGAGTAAGCATTTCAAAAAACAAAAATTAAAATGTGCTCTCTGAAGAGACAAACATTTTTTGCCAAGTAAGTGCTACTTGAATTTAGATTGGGTATATGTATCCAAAAACAAAATCCTGAAGTAGCATGTGGAGCATATGAGATTCCAGTTGCAGCTTATGTCATAGGTTAGAGCATTTATGCGTTTAGGAACCTAAATACTCTCTTAGAGGAACAGAATATGGACGGTGTAAGTCGGCAATCACATAACTCGTTTGCGGTGTCTGAAAATCTCCGCTTCTATGTTATTTTTTTAAAGGACAACAAATTGACATCATTCCTTGAAGTTTTTGTAGAATTTTCTTCGCACAGAGAAGAAAAATCACGGCAGTTTTAAAGAGTTGCCATTGAGTAGTATTCTGTTTAAAAAATTAAGTATGATAGGAAGTCTGCTACGTTGTAAACCGAGTCATGTGATTGCCGACTTACACCGTCGATATATTGAAGATGCCACATTTGAGGCTGCAGTTGTACTGTGTAAAGCAAACTACAAAGTCCATGACTAATTGCAGGGCGGACAACAATGGAGTGTCCACCTTATGGTTCGAAAAATCCAGGCAGTTGCGGACAAACTAAATTTTTTTTTGGATTTTTCTCAGAATCAATAACTGTCAGAGGCTCAGATAGAACCAAATTGAATGGATCCTCAGACGTATCAAAGACTAGCACCCTTAAAAAATTAGGAGGAAAAGAGCCCAGTAGGTTCTATGAAATCACTGGCACATGAATGTTTCCTTTTCTAAGTATGAAATTAAAATGTTCTAATTTAAGCATGTAAGCCCCTCCTGCTTTAGGAAGATAAATAAAAATAAGTTTTGCTGTTATTCTTTTTTTCTCTGTTTCAGGCATTGTTATCAAAATTTCGTTGACTACAAACGATGTGCTAAAGTCAAAGGAGAAGATTATGAGCCATGTCTATATTTCAAGAAAGTCTACACATCACTTTGTCCCCACTACTGGGTCGAAAAGTGGGAATCGCAAATTGAGCAAGGTTGTTTCCCCATGGAATTGTAAGAAAACCTAGAAGGCATTTTAATGTAGGCTTGCTGAAACACTGTAATTTTAAATTATGTATAATATTCTTTAGGTAGCATTTCTCCTTCTATTCAATTTTTTTTTTTTTTTTTTTAAATTCACTTATCATCCTCCGTGCTAAAAGCCAGGCCATGCTACCCTCACAGCTGTTCCATGGATATAATTTTTTCCATCCTCTTAATAAGGTCTGTGTATTTAAATAAGTTTCAAAACTGTTTGGAAACCTTCAGATATGTTTCATTTAAGCTATAAATGGTCTCTGTTCCCCTTCATTGTTTAAATAAATGTTCTATCTGTTTTATTTTGTACTTTGCCTTCTTTTTTTGAAGTCACCGTAGTTATTTTGGATTTATCGAACAAATTTCAAACCAGGATAATGAGAAGTTCTCATGAGAAAAATAATTAATTTTGTGTGCTTTGCATTCTGAAGTTCTAAACAACTGAAAAAAAGTGTTCTTTCTTTCACAATTTGGGTATATTTCACTCTCATTAGAGAAATACTTCTATAAGCTTTATAAACAAAACCATCTGTTGGACACTTATAGTTTAAAATAGCCATCACTGCCATCAGAATTAACCGTCCATTTTTACTGGAGTAGGTAATAGTTTGAGGTTTACGTCTGTGCCAGTGCTCCTCAAGATCTTGTTTCAATCTCTAATTAACAATGGGTCTCCACCTAGGAAAAGGATTTAATTAATTGTTTCTTCTTCCTCTTTTCTTTTTTTTCTAACAAAAAATCCAACATAAAAATTTTGAGTGAAGTATGAGGGAGAAAGAACCAATATGTGCTTGAATTTTATTTCCACCACAAGCATTTCTTAACCAAATATAGTATTTCTACCACTTTAAAACCTAGATTGTTGTAATTAAACACCAACTTCCTAAAAAAAGAAGAAAAGCTAGCTTTGTGATAATTCTTATCTACAGCCTAACTGAGAAAATCTTAAGTGGAGATGACCCCTTTTTGCAGTTATTTGCTACCCCCCATATCACAGATCATTAATGGTTCTTTTTACCAGTAGTTTTCATTACAAAATACATAGTGCAAAAGTAGCCCAATTGCAAGTCGGGTTGTGTGCAAATGTGTAATTTTTAACATTTATTTGGGGAAAGGGCCCATAGTCTTCCCTCTAGAGGAGGTCTAAATTTTCCTCCCTAAAGAAAGTACCTAAATACGAAAACGCTCGAACTCAGGAATTGAACTGGCAATAAGTTTTAGAGTTCATAACCTAGATAATCAGAGCGATAAAAAAGAAAAACCTAATGACAGAAGTGCAATCTGAGCTTTCATTCCAGTTATTGAACTTGAATGATTGTATCCATTTCAACCGAGATTGCTGCAAGTACAATCCAATTTTTTATTCTCTATGCATATAAACTTCTCTACAACCTACAAAAAAATCTGAGCACATGAATGCTCAATGATACAACACAATTCGACGGTGCAAGTCGGCAATCACATAACTCGGTTTGCGACGTCGCAGACTTCCTGTCATACTTTATTTTTTAAATGGAAAACTACTCAACGGCAATTCTTTAAAACTATCATGATTTTTCTTCTCAATGCGAAGAAAATTCTGCAAAAACTTCAAGAAATAATGTCAATTTGCTCTCCTTTAAAAAAATGACGTAGAGGCGGAGATTTTCAGACACCGCAAAAGAGTTATGTGATTGCTGACTTTCACCGTCGAATTAGTCTGTTTTAACAATCAAATGTTAACTCAGTTTCTCAAAATCCAATTCATTGTCAAGGATAAAATTAAAAGATGTAAAATTTAGTTACAGGATTTATGGGAAGTTGCAAGTCGAAGTGGATATTGCTATCGCTAGAACTTAGAAGAAAGAAAAGTGTTATCACGACTTTTCTGCTAACCAATATTGTGTTGTGCAACAAATGTTCGTAAGGATCTTCAAACCCCAACGTAAATGATTAAAAACTAATAATACGAAGTAGGTACACTAGAGCGTTAATCAAGGTTCACATAAAAAATAACTCAATAGCATAACAGTATTTTTTTTTCTTGATTTATTTGTCACAAAACTTCACGTTCCTTCAGAACACAAAAATTGATTTTAAATTTTGAAAAGAAAGTCATTTAGTCTCAGCTGAGTAATTACTCTATACAAAAACAGTATAAATGTAAGTAGTGATGAAAAGAGGTGGCAACCCTTCTATGGAGCTCATTTATCAGTTGAACTCAATAAAAACTTACAAATAAACAGTGAAATTCCCAAACCACAGGTCTTGTTTGCGGTGTTTAAAAATCTTTGCTCCTATTGTAGTTTGTCTTTAAAGAACAAATCAACATAATTTCTTAAAGTTTTTCCAGAATTTGCTTTGCGCTGTAAGGAAAAATCATGTTTTTAAGAGTTGACGTTGAGTATCTCTTCACTAAAAAATAAAGTTTGATAGGAAGTCTGCAACGTCGCAAACCTAGATACATGGTTTGGAAGTTTCAGCGTTAGGAGATGAAGCATGTATACATATCAAACGAATATGTATACTAAATTATGATGACAAATAATATTTAAGATATTAAGGAAGCATCAACGAATTCTATTAGGATGTCATCAACAGGTATTCTGATGACACCATCAACAGCTGCTTTCACTACGTTATCAACAGTTGTCCCGATGACTGGAACAGCCCAGCGATGAAGTTTGTAGGGAAGTTCAATAAATGCATGTATGATAAACTGTTAATGAAAATTACCACTTGAGTAAAAATTTTCAACCTTAACGGAGAAATCATGATGGAAGAACGTAAGACAAATATTGATTGGCAGGAAAAAGGCAAAATTCCTAAATGAACAATAAAAATGATGAAATAAAATAAATCACTACCCTCTAGAAACAAACAACGCTAAAAAAAGTAAAAAACTTGAGGTGTCAAATTGGAGAAATACAAATTCAATAGAATGGCAACAATCTTGTCTCAAGTTTCATCTCATTTTCAGATTTTTTCAGTTCAACTGTGACCACACTGAACAGTTTGATGAGTTGGATGGAGGCCTTGATGTTTTCTTTGGAATTTTCTGCCCAGTAAACAAAGATACTCGAAGAACCATTGTCATTCTGGTGTACAACTTGAGCTTTTCCCTGTAAAAATATGAAAGATGAGGCATTAGAGAAGTAGAAAGTGAGTGCTATAAATTCAGCTGATGTTGCTGTGCAAGCAGAATTTTTTTTGATTATTTATAAATATTTTACAGGGGACTGGAGTCATTTTGATATTTACAGAATTTTCATTGCAAACACCACTGCAACATGACGAAATACCAGGCTTAGGTCGAGCGCATGCAAAAAAAAGAGGAAGAAATAGGTACTTTTTGGGAGAGTAATGAAAAGAGACGCATATTTTTCTCATTTTCTTCCTTGAAGCTAATATTTGTAGAAACAAGTCGTGGTTACAGGAAAATGAAGTCTTAGAAAATGCCTGATTGTTGGGAAAATAATATACAAACCACTTACAGATAGGTTGTTCGTGTACACCCTCGAAATAAGTCCAAAACGAAGAACAATGCAGTCAAAAGAATGGTCTTTGACATCCAGAACAGCAGCTTTTTCCACAAGAGGACCGGTGATAGATAAATAAATTGTTAGGTATAATTTGGAGCTTGACTCTCCAGCCTTCTTGGCACAGTATTTCTGTTTGTTGGAGATACTAGCAGCCCTGAAGAAAAAAAAGAAAAAAAACAGATTGAGTTTGGTTCAACTACGGTTGGATTGTTGAGACACAAGACTATGTTTAGAGTGAAATTTATGGGCAAATACTGCAAGCAAGTGGTAGCATACAGTAAATGGACGGAGCCGTATGATCATGAGTCTGACACTCGCTTTGTAATAGCAATCTTTAAACACCACTTATCGCAACTACAAACTAATCAGTAAACGCAACAGAACTTCTTTGTGCTGTTCCTATGGCGCATTTCAAAACAGAAAAAAATGTTGTTAATGAATCGGTCCCAATAGTCTAGGTATAAAAAATGTGGCCCAATCAGTGACGGTAGGTCAGTATGATCCCATTGTAAGAACAGGTTTCCTTTAATTCAGTGCTGTACACGTTAACTCAGAATGTATGACTAGAGGCATCAACGATTCATTGACTGATAAACACTTAAAGGACTTGATTATGCTAAAAAATAAATTAAATTCNAAAAAAAAAAAAAAGGAAGAAATAGGTACTTTTTGGGAGAGTAATGAAAAGAGACGCAGATTTTTCTCATTTTCTTCCTTGAAGCTAATACCTATTTGTAGAAACAAGTCGTGGTTACAGGAAAATGAAGTCTTAGAAAATGCCTGATTGTTGGGAAAATAATATACAAACCACTTACAGATAGGTTGTTCGTGTACACCCTCGAAATAAGTCCAAAACGAAGAACAATGCAGTCAAAAGAATGGTCTTTGACATCCAGAACAGCAGCTTTTTCCACAAGAGGACCGGTGATAGATAAATAAATTGTTAGGTATAACTTGGAGCTTGACTCTCCAGCCTTCTTGGCACAGTATTTCTGTTTGTTGGAGATACTAGCAGCCCTGAAGAAAAAAAAAGAAAAAAACAGATTGAGTTTTGTTCAACTAAGGTTGGATTGTTGAGACACAAGACTATGTTTAGAGTGAAATAAATGGGCAAATACTGCAAGCAAATGGTAGCATACAGTAAATGGACGGGGCCGTATGATCATGAGTCTGACACTCGCTTTGTAAAAGCAATCTTCAATCACCACTAATCAGCAAAATGAACAAACTTATCGCAACTACTAACTAATCAGTAAATGCAACAGAACTTCTTTGTGCTGTTCCTACGGTGCATTTCAAGACAGAGAAAATGTTGTTAATGAATCGGTCCAAATAGTCTAGGTATAAAAAATGTGGCCCGATCAGTGATGGTAGGCCAGTATGATCCCATTGTAAGAACAGGTTTCCTTTGATTCAGTGCTGTACACGTTGACTCAGGATGTATGACTAGAGGCATCAACGATTCATTGACTGATAAACACTTAAAGGACTCGATTATGCTAAAAAATAAATGAAATTCTTACTTCTGAACTTCCTGAGCTGTGTAGTTTGGTCTGTCACAATATCCTAAAGAAGCGGCTAATAGTCTATGAACAATTATGTCTGCATAACGTCGGATTGGCGATGTGAAATGAGTATAATAACCAGCATTTAAAGCAAAATGCCAATAATCTGCAGGCTCTTTGGCTAATCCACTTGCAAAATAGAGAGCTTTCTAAAAACGAAAAGAGAAACACATGCTCTAGAATAAATATAAATATGATACTGATATTAAGTTGAAATATACTGTTGTCCATAAAATTAACCATCCTAGGTACCAGAATCAGATAGTACAAAAGAAAAAAAGCCTTACACCAACATGAGCTCAAAAAAAAAAAAAAAAANAAAAAAAAAAAAAAAAAAAAACACGAATTGAACTTTGAGAACCCAAAGGTGCTAATTATAGAGGAAATATGATTGGTGATACTTACGGACCTCTGGTTTTTGCTGAAAAATTCCATGTTTTATTCTCTTTCCAATGATGTATATCAAAGAGGGTTGTTGAAAATACAAATTTAATTGAGAAGGCTAGCCGCAGGTTGAATTTTTTTTTTTTTTTTTNTTTTTTTTTTTTTTTTTTTTTTTTTTTTTTTTTTTTTTTTTTTTAAGTCCTCATTAATTGGAGAGAGGAGAATTGCAAAAAGAATTGATCATGGACCTTTTAAGCAAAAACCAGAGGTCCCTCACTATCACCAATCCAAAATGGTGGCCCAATAGAGTTGGAATTTGCAAAGCTTTTATTCGCTCTCATTTTTAAATGGTTACATGTAGAAACACACTTGAAATCTTCACAAAAATTCCTCACTTTGGGTTCTTTTAAACAATTCATCACACACTTACTTACAAAAAAGAGGAAAAAAATAGGGTAAGTGCTTCCCTCGAGGTGGTCCCTACAGAATTTCGAGGAATCAGACTTTTAACTAATTACAGACCAAATTACAAGTCCCTGTCTCAATTTGTGCCAAAGTTACAAGTCTGATGCAAGACTTCAGGATAACCCCGTGACGCGGTGTCATCAGATTTGACTAGGGAAATTGCATAAATCTTTCTGTGACTGGATTTTAATCAGCACTACAAGAGGAAAAGTCTGGAAGGAATGTGACGGAGAGAAAAAAACAATGACAGTTATTACTTACAGGCATTGGCTTTGCAACAAGATTACTTAAGATGACCCGCTTTGCTTCACTCTCCAGATCAGTTCCATCGAACTGATTTATCGATTGATACAACCCAGCACCAGAGCTGATGTCTATGAAAATATCCTCCGCCTCCAATGTTTTTTGTAGTTCAGCTATTCCATTTTTATTCGGGGGCTTATGATGTCGGAGCAATGCGATATCTGGATAGGTTTTATAGATATGCTTTCCGACGGTGAAATTCGCTAATAACATAAATTCTTCGATCAACCTAAAAAGCAGAGAGAATAGGATCGGCTTGAGACACCTTGGAAAATAATTTGAAACTTTTTATTTTATAAAATAACATAAGAAAATATATTGGATAAAAGCTGTAAAATTCTGAAAAACCTAGGCATTTCGAGGCAAATTGACCCCTACTTCAGCGGTGAAAAGTTAATTGCCATCATTGCGAGAGAATCTTAGTCTTTTTTTATAAATTTTTAGGATTCAGCATTGTACCCAAACAATATGACACCCTTCAATGCCTAGTGTCTCTTTCATGTTTCAGTGCTTTTTCAGTACTTGTGGACTATTTTTTAAAATTCTGGACACACAATATGTAAAAGATTAGTACCTAGATACCCTGAATTAGTGAGAGGGGTTTGTTAATGTCATAAAACTTCCTTCGCACTCTAACAAAATCAGATGATTCCTCTTACAATTCTGGTTTCATCTTCTTATTAAAGACAAAAGTTGAAACTTATGCAACAATATCTTACCAGTTGCTTTCATGCTGCAAATACTGTTTACAAGCTGCAGGCAAACCAGAGGTGGAGTCCAACTTAAACCATAATTTAGGAATTTCTATTTTCAGAGAGCCGCTGTCGAACCTGTTCTTTCTTAGGATAGTTGCTAATCGATGTAGCTGCAGTATTATTTCAGAACAATCTTTTTCTGAGTAACCTTTTCCTATGGGCGGAAAGTCATGCTTTGCTGCTCCAGGATTCATGATTACATCCTACAGTGGCAGAGAGGCAAAATGGTCCATTAGTAAATTACCAAAAATCGAGAAGAATACCTCTTCATATTGGTGCACTTTCATTTTATTCTACAATCTACTCTCTGGGGAAAGGAAATTTGAGAGTTTAAAAGTGCTCTAACTCATATATGTTCCATAAGTTAGCAAAAAGGAATTTTATTTAATCAGCATTTGACGTAAGAAGTTAATAGTGGAACTAAGCAAAAAGAAAGGGAAAAAAATTCCTATGAATAGTTTCAGTGGTAATTGGACTGGTAGTTTTGACAAAGTGACTGCATAATTAATTTTGCCAATTTATCCCTGAAAATCTTGATGTACTTAACCCAGTTTATCCAATTCATCAGAATGTATCTTGCATGAACTATTTCATCTTGCATTCTCTCAATTTATCATGATTTATAATGGATTTCCCCAATTAAAAATGGTTTGTCCCTATTCATCCCGACTCATTGTTTTATCCATTGAATTACTATATGTACCATAGCTCCAGTGTGTGCGTCATACTTACCTAATAATTTGACTCTCAGTTCTCTCTTATTTGATGTATTCAGATATATCTATTTCTCCCATATCCCTTCATTTTGACAGGGGTGCACAATATACTAGATCTTGCGATAAATTATCGCGTGAAATTGTGGAAGGCCTTCCCAATTTTTGGAAGCACAATCACGCGATAAATTATCGCGTGAAAATGTGGAAGCGGAAGGAAATTTTTTTTTCTTTCCTTCTGTCTTTTCGTTTCTTTTCTCGCTCTTCTCTTTGAATCCCATATTTTTTACCGAAACAAAATAAAATAAAAAAAAAAGGTCATCACTTCTTGTGGAAGGAGTCACGAAATTGTGGAAATTTTTTAAAAATTTTTTGTGGAAGAGGAAAAGCTTATCGCGCGAAATTGTGGAAGCATAGTAAAATGTGCACCCCTGCATTTTGATTCCTATCCTTCCATCTTCTTTTCCCTGCAGTTGCCAACTCATCTCGAGCACAGTGAGGTGTCTACAAAGTTGAGAAAAAATTGCCTTAACCAATTTTTTTTCAAAATGGTAGAGTAAGCCGATGCGGCAGCTTCACACATGTTAAAATTGTCATCTTGCACCAATTTTACTTATTTGAAATTTTCCATTTCTTCTCTAATAACCTCAAGCTTAAATAAATGATAAAATCCAACAACACATTACCTGAGCATGAGCATAAGTCAATTGAACACAAGAGTGGATGATGGACCGAGTAAAACGATGAGAAATAATTTCAGCTTCAGGAGTCAGTTCCCAAAAAACAGAAAATGCAAGTTTATCTTCTCCTGGAGTTAAGGAACACAGAGAGCATAGTTCTTCCGGTAGCATATGGTACGCCTAGAACAAATCAAAGATTGTTGATGGAGCGAATCTAAGTTAATTGGGGATCCCTCGTAGATTGAATTATGTTCTTAACTGAGACAAAAGCAGTGATGACTTTGAGATTATACATGAGATTAGGTGTGCCCAATTTTCTTAAGTCTCTATGGCATGAATTAATTTTGGATCTGAGGTACTGGGGGACACAAATCTATTTGATAGCTGGCATAAAAAACGTAGGGTAGGTACCAATTTTTTTTTCAAAATTTAAAATTTTTGAGAATTAGTTATTGGAAAAAAAAAATAGTGAAAATTTTCAAAATTATGCCACAGAGGAAAGATTCAATTTTTGAAAACTCCCAAAAATACGTTGTTTCGAATTCTTCACTGGAAGCACATGTAGTGTATGCAGTTGAGGGATTATAAATGTCTACAATTTTTTCTAACAGATATCAATTCTTTAGAAACTTACTTCTTGATGATTTATTGAATATTATAAAATGAGTTCATACCCAATAGAATGCTGGCTTTTTTTTTTTTTAATTTGAACAATGAAAACAGCACAGAAATTTGAATATTTACATGTAGAACATTTTTCAATCCCCTTTTAGTTTTATTCTTAGTTTAGTCTTTACATAAGTACGTTGGGTTTGAATGCTTATTCATAATTTTGACTTACCCTTTGGACAAGATAAATGGTTGTCGCTTTCCGGCATATGGCTTGATCAAATTGCGTTCCTTGTTGAATGAAAAATGCTACGTCTGAAATATGAACTCCCACTTCAAAATTGCCATTAGCTAATTTCCTGCAAGACAGGGCATCATCCAGATCTTTCGCGCCTTCTGGGTCTATGGAGAATATACACTCATTACGCAGATCTTCACGGTTTTTGAAAACTCTTTCGTCACAAACAATATCTTGTAGGCAAGAATCAACTATGCTTCTAGGAATAGGAGTGATATCACAGTCTGCTTCACAAAGTAAAGACATTGTCTCTACTTCTATTGATCCTTTCTCGCCAAGTATTTCTGTTATGAATCCCTGAGAGATCTTCGGGGTGATCCAGTTTGTTAATATTCCTTCAAAATACACATGTTTGTACTTGGTTGAGTTTGAATAAAAATCTGGGGGACAACAATACATTGGTACTTGCCAGCGAGGTAATCTCGAATCATTGGGAGAAAATAAAGCAAACTCTGGATTTTTGTCTGCCATTACTCTTACAGTTCCAATGCCTCTGCGAGAATGAATTAGTTCCTTAATGTACACAACTTTGGCTGTTTTTTGTAATCCTGATGAAAGTGATTTCCACATGCTTTGCGGAAGAATACTAAGAATAACTGTATCACCTTCCAAGGCTCGATTACGATTCCTTACACCCTCAATAAGATAATCAGGTTCAGATTCAATTGCAGAGGAGACATATGCTGTTGTGTAATCACGGGCATTAATGCGCAATTGGCCAGAAACAAGAATTCCTCCTTGGAGACCGTCCATGACTTCAATTTCAGATAAATAATTTTCAAAATTGTCTTCTTCTGGTTCCCTATGTTCTTTATTTGTCTTTTTCTCATTATTTTTTTTGGATTTTTTTTTCTTATCTTTTTTCTCTATTTGTTCTTGGTTTAAGTATAAAGATGAAAAACCTTGGCTTTTTTCATCCCCTCTCTTTGTGCCGGAAGATTCTTTACCTTCATTCGAACACATATTGGAGTCATCTCCATCTGTAGCTTCTGCTTTCTTTTTCTTTTTCTTCTTTTTTTCTTTTTTAGGAATACTTTTTTCAACGCCAGTTTGCATTGAAGGATTACAGATTGACAAAGTTGACACTCCCTGTTCGATTTCAGAGAGTTTATTGAGTGTTTTGAGATCTGTTCTTTCGATGATTGGATCAATTGGCAAAGAGCAGTTATTTTGTTTCTTCTTTTTTTTGTTTTTCTTTGTCTTATTGATTACATTACTTACTGTCTCACTTTCTGCAGACAAATTTGAGCCAACTGTCCATTCAACAGCAGTGAGAAAATAATATTGCTCACTGAGGCTAGCCAAATTTGAAAATGTGTGATCTTTACATTCATTGTACTCTTCGGTTTTTTCAAGTTTAAGCTCATTTCCCCCTAAAGTTTTGTCTTTAATTTTTAAAGTATTCACAATAGGCTGCATTTTTGAAATGCTTTCTTTCATTTCAAGGTTTTTTTTATTTTTCCCTACATTTTTCTCTTTTATTTTTACACAACTGGAAATTTTCTGCTCATCTGGGGAACTTTTTTCCATTTTAATACTAATTTCTTTAAGTGTCTTTAATTTTTTCTTTTCTTTCTTAGATTTTTTCTGATTTTTTACATTTCCCTTAGATTCAAGATTGATATATTCATCAACTAGTTCAGAGCATCTTCTAGGACCAGATAATTTTTTATGAGTGAACTTGGAGGTTATTTCTTTCGGCACATTCTTAGTTCTTTTTGTGACGGCTTCACTTAAACTACTATTTACCGTCTTTGACTTGACTTGAGATTTCACTCCAATCCCAAGAGGTAGCAGTCTAAAGGCTCCAATTTGTCGACCCCCATCATCTGCTTCTTTCTCAACCTTACTCTTTTTAGATTTCTTTTTGGATTTTTTTGATTCTTTCTTTTCTGCAAATGGATCTTTTTCACTGACTTTTCCTAGCTGCTTGTCAAGTGTGCGTAACTGTCTCTGTAAAGTTCGAAGCTCTTCATTTTTTTCATCTAGATCTAGGGCGGATAAGGACTTTACAACCTTTGATATAGTCCTCGTTAATTTTTGCTTGTTTTTTTCATGGCTGATCGCTAAAGCTGCTCGGTCCGCTTTGGAAGTCATGTCTACTTGACAAAATCATTAAGTCCTGTGAAAGAAAGAAAAAAACACTTTAACGAAGGAAGGCACATTTTGTACGAGCAAAATAGTAGAAATATGAAAAATTGTTGGTTTCCTTTCATTACCAGCCTCTTGATTTTCATTAAATATTGTCTTACTGTTTTATATTTTGATCACACTCTATTAAACTGTATGATTTCAGAATTACACACAGAGCACTTACTAAATTTGTAGGTATAGATTCTTGAGTAGGTATGGTTGAGATTCTATTAATATTACCTAGAGATGATAATTTGAAAAAAAAAGAAAGAAAAAAAAAAAAAATTCAGCCAACTGATTTACTAGATACGACTTTTGCAGCCATCCTCAGACTGTCAAATCTGTCATTTTTCGTCCTTTTTAGGATTGAGCAAACCTTCCGTTGCCTTAAACCAATGTTAATTGTGAAAACTTCTGGAATACTTATCTTTAATTAGTGTTGATTATATATTAACAGACTTTCCATCAGGCGATTCACTTTCATCATGAAATTTTAAAGAGAAACTGAGTTACATTATGCTTTCATTCACACCTTCTCTGGTGCCCCCTCGTCTCTCTCTCTCTCTCTCTCTCTCCCTCTAAAAAAAAAGTGAAATTAGATTGGAAATTTTGAAACAAATGAACACTCCAATTAGGATGCATGGTTTCTATATTTAACCATGGTGAACTTAGAGGCTCACTTGAAGGGGGTGAACACTTTGTGCTGAGCGACCTGAATCAATGCGATATAAACAGTACTTCAGGATGCAGCGTGAATAGTTCCCGAGCCATGGTGCCACTTTATTTCTCATCCTCAAAAAGGAGTGCCCAAGTCTTTCAAGCCTACTGATAATGAAAACAAGTGAAACCCAAACTGACTAATGGGTACTTCAATTTTGGCGGATGTCACTTGACTCAGTCATTTGTGACATACTTTAACCCAAAGTAGTTCAATTAGACAAATGAATCTATGATCATTTAGTAAACTCTCCCGTGAATTACCTGCTGTCCAACTAAGGAAAGGCTTACTTCTGTCCTGCAACTTACGCTCTACACTTCATTCATCAGCCGCAAAATGTGCTGTGCTGTTGCAGTGAGTGTTGACCTCCCATGACAGTCGCAGGGTAAAAAGTGTTGTTTTAGCGAGGGTTCAAGAGTGATCGTCTAACTCGCAACGCTCTCACCAAGAATATTCTTTAGGGCCTATTGTTTAACCAAAACGCACCCTCTCCTGCAGGCAGCAACGATTTTGAAAGATCCCTTCTTTCTGAGGGGTAATCGGTGTTATGTAGTTCATTGTCGATGGAAAAGACTTAAGCATAGGTGCTTGCATCGGGCACAGGTCATTTTCCTTACCATCATTCATTTAGGTTCATTTCATCTTGCCTATAAAAGTAAATGGTGCGTATACCCTAGGGCTGCGACTACAAAAACAACGACTACTGTTTATCAAGAGTTGCCCTGCCAGACTGTAAAAATGGAATTACCTTACCTGTTAAGTAGAATGCAGGGTTAGCAACTGACGGATTTGGGTGATCTTATGTGCACATATAATGGAAATTTGATGAGGAAAAACACTAGAACTTATTTCTTCTCACACCAAATATGTTTTGTAACTTTTGTAACTGATAAGTGATAAGCGAACGTCGTCAATAAGGGTTTTTCCGACTGACGACTTGGTCGACTTGATAGTCAACAGGGCACCCCGAATANTTCATTGTTTGGTTCCGATTCGATACAATCGATACAGATTGTGAAGTGGCACTAATGCCTTCCCTACATACACACACAAATGACAGGATTTTTGAGACAGGTAAGGAACTAAGTTTTTCCTTCATTTTCGCGTGATACCACATTACGTACCTACTCCAGAATTCGATTACTTTGGGGTTTTTCCGACTGACGACTTGGTCGACTTGATAGTCAACAGGGCACCCCGAATACGCACCGGATTGGTGCAGTTCGGCGGTGGCTGGTGCTCGTTCGGGGTGCTCGATTTTCTTGAATTGACGCTGACGTGTGTCCGACGCCGCGCCGCCGCCGCGCAGTGCAGTCTCCGCAGGCGGCTTCTTGTCTGAAGCTTTTAAACTGTTGCAATCTTATTCTTCATCATTATTTCGTAACTTCAGTTGTTGAAATGCCCAGAATAATTTACTTTAAGCGTCAATTGTCAACTATATATGTTGAACCTGTAAATGAAAAAAGACCTGTGAAAAAGTGAATAATTCATTTTGAAAAGAAAAAATAAAGAAAAAAAAATAAGTTGTGTCTTCCCTTCATGTTTTTTTTTTAAAGGAATTATTATAAATTAGTTTCACCTTGGAAAAACCCCTAAAAGTCTCATTTATCGGCCAGCCTAGGAAGGAAAAAAACAGTGTGCTAAAGTTAACCGCGCGAAAGAAGAAGTTTTGGACGTAGTCTTCTTTCAAGGGCATCAAGAGCTGTTATTTCCCTAATCTGCCGGATCCCATTGGAGATTTTGCATGTGTGAGGGATTTGCGATTTGACCATTGATGCTTATATAAAAGTTCGCGAGAAACACGAGAAATCGTCTCCCAAGCTTAAAAAAAGCGCTCAAAGTGAGGCCGAAAAGGAGGGGATATCCCACCCTACCCTGAGAGTCTACGTCTACATCAAAACAAACTCTCCATGCAAAGATAGGGAGCAAATACATTAGCAGGGTTACCATGTTTTCAGTTTTGGAGTCCCCAAAATAAAGTGGCTCCATCGTGTTTCGTGCGAACTTTTACATTAGAATCAATGGTCAAATCGCAAATCCCTCACG